ATAGTCTCAGGGTTCTGTTTAAAGCGCAGAGAGAACCATGAAGACAAAGGAACACACCAGGCAGGTCCGAGATACTATTGTGGAGAAGTTTAAAGCCGGATTTGGATACAAAAAGATTTCCCAAGCTTTAAACATCTCAAGGACCACTGTGCAAGCAATTATATTGAAAAGGAAGGAGTATCAGACCACTGCAAATCTACCAAGACCTGGCCGTCCCTCCAAACTTTCATCTCAAACAAGGAGAAGACTGATCAGAGATGCAGCCAAGAGGCCCATGATCACTCTGGATGAACTGCAGATAACTACAGCTGAGTTGGGGATGGTGTGTTCAGGGTGATGAGCTGTGTTGCTTTTAAGCCAAACATATCGTTTTGCATTGTGGCCAAAAAGTTTGATTTTGGTTTCATCTGACCAGAGCACCTTCTTCCACATGTTTGGTGTGTCTCCCAGGTGGCTTGTGGAAAACTTTAAACAAGACTTTTTATGGATATCTTTGAGAAATGGCTTTCTTCTTGCCACTCTTGATTTGTGCAGTGCACGACTGATTGTTGTCCTATGGACAGACTCTCCCACCTCAGCTGTAGTTATCTGCAGTTCATCCAGAGCGATCATGGGCCTCTTGGGTGCATCTCTGATCAGTCTTCTCCTCGTTTGAGATGAAAGTTTGGAGGGACGGCCGGGTCTTGGTAGATTTGCAGTGGTCTGATACTCCTTCCATTTCAATATAATTGCTTGCACAGTGGTCCTTAGGATGTTTAAAGCTTGGGAAATCTTTTTGTATCCAAATCCGGCTTTAAACTTCTCCACAACAGTATCTCGGACCTGCCTGGTGTGTTCCTTTGTCTTCATGGTTCTCTCTGCGCTTTAAACAGAACCCTGAGACTATCAAAGAGCAGGTGCATTTATACGGAGACTTGATTACACACAGGTGCATTCTATTTATCATCATCAGTCATTTAGGACAACATTGGATCATTCAAAGATCCTCACTGAACTTCTGGAGTGAGTTTGCTGCACTGAAAGTAAAGGGGCCGAATAATATTGCACGCCCAACTTTTCAGTTTTTTATTTGTTAAAAAAGTTTAAATTATCCAATACAGTTCGTTCCACTTCACGATTGTGTCCCACTTGTTATTGATTCATGACAAAAAAATTAAATTTTATATCTTTATGTTTGAAGCCTGAAATGTGGGGAAATGTTGAAAGGTTGAATACTTTCGCAAGGCACTGTATTTTACAAATCATGTTTGTGGTATATTTAAAAGTCAATCATGTGACCAGCTTCTTATAGGCTGGTCAGCAATCAAAGCTGATCCATTTTACCCTTGTTACACGAAAGTAGGTAGAAATGGGAGGGAAGAAGTCAAGGCTTTTAAACTACCACCCTCTATTTATTATTAAATTATATGGTTGCTACAGCTTAGTTTATTCTGTGGTATATTACTGTTATGTAACAGTGACATTTACAATAACATGCACTTGATTTGTACAGTGTTTGTAAAATGTGTTTATATTAATATTGTTTCCTTATTACCTTTTACGTCTCTCAGTATCACAGCCTTTACTAATCCTAACGTCATCATCATCACCATATATCCATATATCATTCATAAAAATAATTGTCTCTATCATGTATATTGTATATGATAATGAAATAGATATAATATAAAAATATATATACATGTTGAATGTATTAAGTGCTTATGTTATACGTGAGTTAAATATGATATTTGGTGCTGAGCAAGCTTTGATGGTGTGGTGTTAAAGTAACACTTAAAGGACAACTCACCCTCAAATCCACTTTTTTTTGCTGATAAACGGTATAAATGAGTGTCCAATAGTGTTGTCTACATATCCTGGTCATAATTTTGTCACTTTGGTGCAAATTAGTTGAAAGTTAAACTTTCTGCCTAAAACCGTCTGTGAGGCGCCATCTGCTGGCGACCTGTATTACTACATTTGAATTTTGAATCTGGCGCCAACACTGGCGCGGCAGCAAGACCTGACGTCTGAAGCAAGACCTGACGTCTGAAGCAAGACCTGACGTTAGCAGCCCCCCGCCCAGAGCTATATAAACGGCCCAGTCTCGTTCACGCCCCCTTTAGTCCTCCAGGCTACGCCCATTTAGAGAAAGATTTGAACAGGAAATGTGAGTGACGTAAGCTCCGAGGAGCGGGGGTGAGAACCACTTTAATATTCACAACATTCATTTTACATTGATACGTATATCTGACTTCCTACCTTTTCTGACTATTACTTACAATGACACAGTCTTCCTAATATTAGATTCCATGATTGAGTTTGTCCATTTGAGGGCCCTTATTTTGCCCATTATCACCAAAAGTATGTTTTCTCTAACTTTTAGGATCAACCAATCACAGCGTTTGAAATGATGACTCATACCTAGCAACGGGGTTGGCCACGCCTCCTCACTAAGATAGGAGTTTTTGTCCATTCCTTGCTCAGAGTTCTCTGAGAATGTTCTGGTACAACTTATAAGCTAAGACTCCTAGCTAGGAGTTATTAGGTTAAGTTAGGAGCTCTGTGAGAGGACTCTTAGAATCTTTAGGCATACGGCCCCAGATCCGTAACATATAGGACTCACTTGGGCGGCACGGTGGCTGTGTGGATAGCACTCTTGCTTCTCAGAAAGAAGTTGGGACAGGGCCTTTCTGAGTGGAGTTTGCATGTTCTCCCTGTGTCTGCGTAGGATTCCTCCGGGTGCTCTGGTTTCCCTACCACCAAAAACACACACGATTGGTAAATCCTCCAGGTCTGGTCCTGACCAAGCCGAGCATCAACATTTGGAGATGGTTTTATATCTCTTATCTCTATGTTCCTATATCTAACAAGGTCTTCGGAAGTTTGCCCAACAATATTATATTTTGTGTTTGAGTGTGTACTGCCGAATCACTTTATTTTGCTCCAGAAATCAATGGTGCTGAGCCCTGAGCAAAGATTAGTGAGGTTCAGTCCTTTACAAATGTCTTATAACTGTGTGTCTAAATACGTTTGCTGTGTAGACAAATAATAGACTTCTGAGTAATTTCTCATCAAAGTACCTCTCAACAGATGCTTTAAGGAGAAGGAGGGACTTGTGATAGAGCTTCCTATTTTGATCAATGTACAAAGTGAGAAAACTTTCATGTCCCTTGTGGGAATGTGAATGAATGTCTTTTATTGTATATATGATGGCAATAAATAAAAGTACATGAACATTCAGTAAAGACATTCTAATAAAAACCCTGACAAAAGTATATTTTTATTCCAAAAACAGAAATGGTTTTTCGTTTTTTTCAGTGTAGTATATGGACATGTGCAATACAAGGATATTTGTCGGATAAATTCCTAATTATTAAAAGGATAAAAAATATCTTTAAAAGGATAACAAGGAAATGAAGTTGAAATAATAAAATCCAATCTGTGACTCTTTGATTAATAGAATAGCATAGACGTTTATGTCATCGTTGTCGGATACACAAAAGCTGAGATTAAGCTGAGAAGATAAAGATCAGATTCATTTATTTGCCATTTGCAGTAAAACCATTTGCAGTAAAACTGTTCAATTTGTTCCTGTTTCCCTCCATCTTGAAGTGAGATGCAATATTGAGCAATTAAATGTTTTCTGTTTAGTTGGCAAACGTGTTCTAATTAATCTTGCACTGCCAGTGAAAGAAAGAGACAGCGTTCTTGTACAAAACCTTTAACATTCACAAAAAAGTTAAACCCATAGACAGTGATAAAGACTTTTGACATCATCAACTTTTATTACTTAATAAGAACCAGATGCCCTGAATATGACCATAGACGGGCATATACTGGGCAGCATGATGGCTGAGGGAACAATCTTTAGTCTCAGCAGAAAGGCCTTGTTCAGACCTGGGTTTGAATCCCTGTCGCCTTTTGAGTGTTCTCCCTGGATCTGTGTGGGCTTCCTCCGGGTGCTCCGGTTTCCTCCAGGTGCTCCTGTTACCACTAAAAACATACACCATAGGTCATATCCCCAAGCTCTTGTCGTACTGACCAAGCCAGCATTGATATCTGAACATGAGCACCAGGGCACTGAACTACGGTAACTCCTGCTCCTGATAGAGGCCAGAGTGGCAGAGAGGAATGGGTCAAATGCAGAGGACAATTGTAGCCACCAACCAGAGCTGCACCAGTACACAGAGCACCAGCCCCTCACTGATCCTCTTGCAGGTGGTGAGTCCAGTGGAGGATGGCTGCTCTGTCAGTGAGGGCACATACAATTACAAAACAATACAATTTATTCTTGTATAGCCCTAGGTCACAACAGAAGTCATCTCAGAGGACTTAACAAAACCATTGAAATCACCAACACAGGTCAGAGAATCAACAGTTAAAACACATGAAGAATATAAAGCACACACAGAAGAAAATGTCCATACATGTTGTAGAATGCTAAAGTGTCCTGATCATCACCAATCCTTTCTGTTGGACACTAACTGTCCAACAAGACCCTCCTGCATCGACAAGGAAAAACTCTTAAAAAACCCAGTGGGAAAAAGTGAGAAACCTTGGGGAGAACTTGGGAAACCCACAGGGTGCGAGACCCATTTGAGAAAGGGATCCGCTCCTCCGGACGGACAGGCTAATGATCTAGGACCTAAGCTAGCTACAGAACGTGGACCAGTGGCCGCTGAACGTAGACAGGTCCGGTGCAGGACTGAAGCACTCCCAGGCGGGTCGGGCGGGGCAGTCCGCAGGTGTAGATGGAGGAGGCCAGGCTCAGAGATCCCGTCATCGTACCATGAAACAGACAATGGGACAACGGGTGAACGGGTGAATAGCAATGAACAAACTACAGTAAAAATCCTAATAATGCTAAACAGGTAAAGTAGGAAGGAGGAGAGGATAGTGAATAATGAATAATGCATCTCAACTAGAGCAACCCTCTCAAATAATTAAATAAATGGTTAAAACAACAAAAAACTGAAAAATAAATGCATATAAACATGTCATGTGACTGTTGTCCACAGAAACCTGCTGTACAGTCTCCCCGGGAGCCCTCCTCGCTTCTCCATCCTGCGCTTCTCTGACGACTCCTCCATCCTCTTCTGTAACAACGCCAAGAGCCACATCATGACCACGTCTGGCAGCTTGGAAGTGCCGGGCTCGCTGTCATATGACTCCTGCTCCAGTTCCCGGGACCAGGATCTGGAGCTGATCCTGGCGGCCGTTCGCTCCGCAGACAGACTCATCTGCTTTGGACAAGAGCTGTTTGAAAACTACCCAAGTGAACGGAAATAAGGGTCTACTACTGTTTTACCAAATGTGTTTTATTCCAAGGAGGTGGGTCTGGTATCACTCAGGGTTTTCACAGATAATACAACATATTATGGGTGTCATAGCAATAAACCTGTCAAAACAAAGTAGGCTAGTTTAGTTAGTTACATGTTTAGTTTGAGTTAAATTTTTTATTTCTAACCTGCTCAAAACAGTTTCAGAGTACAACCATAGCTGACACACATGTTTCTGTTATGTATATTAGGAGTGGACTAACCAATTTGAGCTGACGTCACCCATAGAGTTTGTCGAATACTGAAAAAGCCGATTTTAACATAAGATAGCTGGAGCCTATTTTCTTATAATGTCATGTGGAGAGGTGATGGAGGACTCAAAATGCAGGAATGCCAAAAAATAATTATTTAATGATAACAAAATAAAAGTCCAGGTTAAAACTCAAAAACCCAAAAACACAAGCAACCAGGAACAGGGCAGAACAGAACAGACAAAGACATGAACAACACAATGGACCAGCAACATTTGGAGAGGAGCACAGGGTACATATAGACACAGACACAGGTGAAACACATCAGGGCGGGGCAGACAATCAAGACAGGGGCAAACAGGACAGGAAGTACAACTAAAACCAAACCACAGAGAACAATGTCAAAATAAAACAAAAATACAAAAATAAAACCCACATCATGACATATAAGGGCATTTGTTTTGACAGGGTTAACTTCATGCCGTACCAGGGGCAAATGTGTTGCTATCAAGGTTGCCAAGGACAAGCCCTCAAATGTAAGCAACTTATTTGTCAACCCTTAAACGGCTTGTATCTGAATTTACAAAGGCATTATCCAAAAAAAAATGTTACAAAAAATCACAGAGAGGGCTGAACAACAGATTCCAATTTGGGCTACATTGTGCTTTTACGTTTATTTAGTTATGAACAATATTTTAATTTCCCTGGTTTCGCCTGTATTACTCTTTATGCCAATTTTTTTCATCTTATTGGGTTATGAATAATTAATTGTTACATTTGATACACAAAATCAAATAGGAGCAGGTACCAGACCCCCTCCTTTGTGTAACACTGGGTCAATTGGATTAGCTCTTAACTTCTATACTATAATCTTAATTTAAACCCAGAACAACATGATACACTGCAATATTTATTCTGGTAGGGATTTGTCAATAAGATAACAAATATGGCAATATGTGAAGTGAACACCATGTATAATTTAATGTTTTGAGCTACATTCTGCACAATAGCCCTAAGATAAGCATAAATATTTCTATTGCACAATAGGAGGCTGAGCTGTCATTTTGAAACCTCTCTCCTCTTTTTAAATTTTCATAAAGGGGGGCTACCTTGTGCATAGGGCTGATTTTTATACCTTGTTAAATTGATGTTTTGTGTATGGAATAGCTTTTGTGGGCAAACCCAAAGTCTGTAGCTTGACAAGCCATTGTAATTTCAGTGGCACTGCACAAACAAGTCATGAATAGTTGAATAGTTGTAGCTAGAGACAGAATAAGCTACTGCATGTTTGCACACTCTTGATAGTTTCAAGAGTTTGTTTTATACAAAATAACCAATCAATGCTGAAGGACTACGCCTTAGACATCGTTTGGAAACTGAGGCTTTTAAGCGTACGATCAAACAGGCGTGCAGCTTGTCACTGTGAAGATGTAGCATTGCTCAAAATATTCATTTCTATGGCATTAGACTCATCAGGAACGTTGGTATTTTGTGTTTGAACTGATAGAGTATCAAATAGAAAAGCACAGAGTGAATTTTAAATGTTACAAGCCTCTACTTAAAGCTGGGGTACTTCCACACTACACCAAATAAAACTATGTCATCAAATCCATGTTACTTTAGATCAACTTTTTCAAATAGAAAAGTGATAAAGATCAAGATTGTTTATTTTTGTCTCCTTAAGGAGAGTTGATTTGGACTGATGGGTCTGCTACATTTCAATATAAAAAATACATACACACAAAAACACCAGCGCACATGCAGTTCACACACACATCATCTCCTCATGTCCTTATTTAACAGATTCTCTGAAACAGGTATGAATGAGTTCTTATAGCGATTGAGTGGCACCCACTCCTCAAGAGAGGACCACCCTCACTCAGCCAAACAGCTCTCAGCCCAAAGCGACAAATAGTGACTCACAGGGCTCCTTCTTACAAGCATGTGATTGATATGATTGGATTTGTTGACAACATTTTTCTGTGTACTAGACTCTTTATATTGGGCCAAACAAGAGGTGGTATTTATGAATATAAAAATCAGGTACCCCAGCTTTAATATGCATCTTCAACAAAAGCACAAATTGCTGAAATGTACATTGCACTACTTTGGCACCAGAGGCAGCAGCACCTGGAGCATCACCTGCTCTGGACAAACAGACAACCCAAATGCTCCAAGTCTAGAGCTCAGGAAGGATTAGATCCAAGTCAAATGGGACCCTTTGGGACCTGACGTGTTTGGTTGTATGGTTCCGCTCGGGTCCGAGTCGATGTGTGGCAATTGATTCCTCTCGTTTTTTAAAAAGGCTGCACCAGAACAAGCTGAAAAGGAATGTTTACGAATGATTTTTCTCAAAAAGTTATGCTTAAGACTAATTACATTTGTAAAACAGCAGAGAATGATGCTTTTTTTTCCTTCTTATTGCCCTGTGTGCGTGTGTGTGTGTCTCTCTCTATCCATCTATCTATTTCTGTCTCTCTCTCTCTGTCTCTGTCCCTCTGTGTGTGTGTGTGTATGTGTGTGTGTGTGTGTGTGTGTGTCTCTCTCTCTCTGTCTCTGTCCCTCTGTGTGTGTCTGTCTCTCTTTACCTATCTCTGTGTCTTTCTATGTCAAAAATAATGTGAGGTTCTGGTCGGGTTCGGGCAGGATCCTCTCGGGCGCACGTCGAGCTAAACATTTTAGGTCCAATTACAGCTGCTGGGAAAAGTGTGTGCGACTGAGTTATGGATATTGTATCGTAACGTCATTTTTTTAGGAACTAACTAAGAAGTATTCTGGAACACCTGTCAATATAGCAATACATCCTTGTAGTATCCATCCATGAGGATACAGTAAAAGCTGTTATACCCTTTACTGATTCTCTTTGAAGAGCTGTGTAATTAATTTTGGAAGCTCTGATGGAGTACCTTAAAAACCGCAAATAGAACAAGTATGTAGTATAACCATGTAACTGGTTCCTGACTCTCAAAACAGTTTGGTTCTGTTACTAATTTGGCCCTTGTCACATCTTAAGATCAGATTTTTTACGGAGAGTACCAGCCCTCACTCAGCTCTCAGTATGTAAGATATCAAAGGTTTTCTGATATGATGGTACACACTCTTGATAGTTTCAAGAGTGCATACTTTCCAGTTCACCTATTTTGTATTTTTGTGACAAACAATTCATATTCATTAAACAGACACATAAAGCGATAGACTCCAGCTTTAACGTAGCAAAAGCTCGCTGCAGTTTGTGATGGAGAGATTGTAGATTGAGTATTTCTCTGGCCACTTTTACCCACTTTCACTTGAATAGCAATTGCAAATTTTGAGTTTAAACGCTCACTGAATCCTGTTTAAATCATAGTGGACAGATTATGTGCTACGCAGAGATTATGGTTGTTATATTTCCATGCAGTCAAGCTCAGCAATCCCATGGTGAATGGGGCCGTTGTGCGCACAGTGGGTTTGATGGAGTTCAAGTGGAGCAGCTAATAATGACTTAGTTACGCAAATACACTCACTTTTGTCGAAGCCATCTGTAGCTAGGCATGATATACTTTGTCGTTTCTTTAGAGTTTGGTGTGTGTAGGCTCAGAGCTGTGTGTAGCATGACAAAGGTGAGCATGGAGCGAATGAACAATGTGATTTAATTATTGATGATTTTTGTAAAATGCGACAAAAATAACCATTGTTTTATACTACTTCAAGTGGTTCCTGCTGATTTTATACAAAAAATAAATTGCAATAATAGTGTGCCTTCTATTGAAACAAAATGTGATTTTTGCATTTCAGGCATTGGAGATGAACAGATCTCAAAACCCAAATTGAAGAATGGTTTATCACGTGAATTAAAATGCAAAACATCATCCAATAATGACCGTCGTCTACTATGTTCTCTGCTTAGAACGTGATATTGTACAGTTGTGCTTGAAACTTTACACTCCCAGGCAGAAAAGTCAATGTTTTTGTGCATTATTTCAGAGATTGGGAATGATAACACAAACATTTTATTTTCCACTTTGTGTAGTTTGTGTAGGCCAGGCATGTCAAAGTCAAATACATCAGAGGGCCAAAAAAACAAATTTGCTGCGAGCCGAGGGCCGGACTGGTTCAATGTTTATTAACTCATTGCCTGCCAGCCTATTTCAGAACAGATACTCCCATATTGCCAGCAGTTTCTGATGATTTTTATAGATTTTTCAAGACCCACAGAATATTGTGTACTATGACTATCTGAAATCCGAAACCAGATTCTGAAAGAATCTGGTTTCTATGACTATCATAGATAGTACTAGTCTACTATCATCAGCAAAAATAATTTTGTTTCTAGCTTGTAACTCCCAGTTGAGTAGAGGGAAGTTTTACTGAAATCACCAAAAAAGCTGAGAAAAAAGAGGCACAACAAGTGCATCTAGCTGTTTTCAAACCATTCAGAGAGCGCTGCTGCCACCTACTGGCTCGATTCAATATGCTCTCAAGCTTATCCCCATACATATTAGATATAATAGACATCGGGGAACATGAAAATAGCGGAAAACGCAATTGGTGTAATAGTCCGTCAATGGCAGGCAACGGGCCATGTAAAATTCACTTGACTTTGACACATGTGGTGTAGGCCATATATTATTTAACTGACCGACCGCTACTTTAGGGCCCCTGATTGTTTACACCAGCTGTTGCATTTGCTCTTTTGCATTTTTGATTGTTCTAACCGCAGTACTAGATAGATAGATAGATCTATCACAGCAGCAGAGATGGGGTAGCCGCTGGGTGGAGCAGGACAGATCACAAGGTGGAGCAGCTGCTTGGTTCGGACCATTTTCTCTGCTCTAGTCCAAACAAACAAGGATTTAAGTTCTAGCATACCAAGGGGCTCTCAGCAGTCTCAGAAACAGTGACAGAGGACCAGCTTCAGGCTATCATACCAATAGCGAGCATACCAACCATGAGGATTGGACCAAAGTCACAAGAGGATTGCATCAGGTCTGTGTGGTTCCATAATAAAAGCCATACCTATTTTTGCCAAGTTATGCAGCTGTTGTTGTTTACAAACACTCAACGGGTTTTAAAACTTGTTTTCTATTTTCAAATTATGACAGAATGGAAATTGTGCTGTTCATGAAAGGCAATCCAGGAATTTACAGGAACTGGAGGCTTTTTACCAAGAAAAAAAGGCAGCTTTACATCAGATTGAACCTCATCCACAACCATCACATAAGACTCAAAAGCTATTGTTAACCTGGCAAATATTCACTATTGTCATTTGAAAATAGGAAATTAGAAACACATTTATTTGACAAAAAATGGCTCCACACATCTATTACCATTTTTTTAATCATTGGATCATCTCCTAAACAACAACAACAACATTAATGTCTGTCTGGGAGTGTAAGCTTTTGAGCCTGACTGAATGTCCTAAGCTAATACTAACATCTGTACATATTAATTTGCATGCTTTAATAGTTAGTGATGCACAAGAAAGAAACAAATGTATAACTGTTTTTATGTGTCAATGCACATAAAAACACAAAAGCAGGGTGACGGGTATCGCGCTTATACAATCATCGGGTCTATGAGAACAAGCACAAGTCATTTTTCAGAAAGATTATACAAAAACCTTGGAAATTATGATGTGTTCTGTGAATCTGTTTGACATTTGTAATGTTTTTTGTAATTTTGTGGTTTAATTGTTTGGATGTTTTTTGGGATTTTCAGCGAATAAAAGTATTTAAATGAATATGGTTTGTTTAATCACAGAGTTTTATTGCGCACTAAGAAAGATAGTCAATAACTGTTCTCAATTAGCACTATTATTATTGTTGTAAGAATTTAGCACATTTGAAACAATGACCCCAAAAATGACTTTCTGCTCCTTCAGATAAGGGGTGCATGGGGTGTACTATCTGGTGCACTCTGGGGTGGTCTTGCTCAGTTTTTCCAATGTGGTTTTACTGCAAATGGCAAATAAATTCTTAAATCTTGAATATGGATTGTCTAATGGCTGACTGCAGAAAAGGGCATATGTTTTTGTAGATTTTTTTTGTCTGTTTATGATATACAGTCAGTCACTTACAATGGCTTCAGCCCTTGTACAATTTCAAGGACTTCCCCTCCTCGTGCGTCCCAGCAATACCCTTTGAACCGTGGTGAACGCGCAACATCCCTGTGCTAACGTGCGCGCTCCCGTGCTGAACCCGGGGGGCGGGGCCAGAGCACGCATTGCTGAAGATGATGGCGACCGCTGCAGAGGAGCTCGGCATCCCCAGCCTCCACAGCCTACACAGCCTCCACAGCCTCCCCCCGGGCGACTGTCCTGCCCCCGAGCCGGTGTGTGTGGAGCCGCTGTGCGTGAGGCAGAGGCAGCAGGAGCGTTCATGGAGGCAGCGGGTTGTCTATCTGCAGTGCTGTAAGTATAGATATGAGGAGAGGCGTCCGACCCGAGAGCTTACAGTCTGTGGTGATGATACTAATGTCGCTCTGGTCCAGGGGTGAAAACAGATGAACCAAAGCCAGCATTTGCTCACAAACAGTAGAAGACAATGTTGTTGGCTTGGCTTGTGTACAAAATACTAAAAAACCATAAAAAACCATTACAAATGATTGTGTCATAGGCTGCTGTACACCTCCTGCTGTAACCTCACGCAGCCTCCCTCCATTAATTTCCATTCATGTGTTTATGTATTGCCCTAAATCACAACAGTGACATTGTGTTACTTTTCTTTGTTGAGATCTGATTTAAATAAGGTGTAGTTGTGCCTTGTTGTGCTTTTTTTTTGTCCTTGTTCTGTATTATTTTTATTGTGATATGAAAAGTTTGTGATGAAAAGTGTGATATGAATAATCTCGGGGGACTTTGCAAAGTTTTCCGTTTCACCAACACACATCGGAGAATTAAACTATTAAAACTCAGGAAGTGCAATGATATAAAATAAATTACACTGAGCCATTGAGGGGCAGATGACCAATGTCCATAATGTTAATAAATGCCTATAAAAGTCCTTAAATGTCCACTGCCCATAGACCTCACTACTCCAAAAACCCAGTGGGAAAAAACTGAGATACAAGAAGGTTTTAAATAAGGCCGCACATCCCTGTAGTCTTGACTAGCGTGCTGGATTAACAAAGTGCAAAACGTGAAAACAGTGAAAAAAATCCGCACAGCTATGTCGGTCCCAAACAATGTATTTTATTTACAAAAAATGGAGATGCCTCACATATTTAATTGTTTGTTAATCTAGACCCACATTAGTCTGCACATTAGGCACTGCACATACAGTACATCTACATCAGATAATAGCTATAAAGCCAGGTTTCCCTCTGTTGTCCCTGGGCAGGCAAATACATAAGAAATTACAACATACAAGAACAAGAAAACAAGCAAATCTTCAGAGTCCAGTGATCACATGACTGGTTTGTTTTCAGCCATAAAAAACAAACCCTACAGTCTTATCTAGACCATGTTCTCAAGCGTTTCTCTTGTTAAAGAAGGGAAAGGGCTCTGTTTGATCTCCTTTACAAAAAGAAAAAAAATCTTGAAAAAAAGAAATATATATATATATATCATTCATTCAACACAACATTCGTTCACCCCTTCGTAGTTCAAATGTATACTATTATTGCCGCACTATAAGTTATCTGCACTTTTTATTATGACTCCTAGAAGCTATGATGCATGCACACGTATTGCCAAAATAGACCATGTGTAACACTAAATTTAAAGTACATAAACAATAAGGTTAGGGCTTGAGTGATGCAAGGAGAGAATACTGACTGACAGAAGAAGACTAGTGCACTCAGTCAACCACACTAGCTTGTGGTTGACTGCAGGAGAACATGGACCAGTGGACTCACTCCTTCACTGTATCCAACAGATCAGTGAGTGGATGCAAAACAACTTCCTTCAGCTAAACGCAGACAAAACTGAAATGATTGTCTTTGGTCCCCAGAAACAAAGAGAGAGCGTCATCTGTCATCTACAGTCTCTCTCCCTAAAACCTTCAAACAAGGTCAGAAATCTAGGGGTAATACTGGACTCAGACTTAAATTTTAATAGCCACATCAAATCAGTAACATCAGCAGCTTTTTACCATCTAAAAAACATTGCCAGGATCAAAAACATAGTGTCTAAAGCAGACTTGGAGATCCTTATCCATGCATTTGTCTCCAGTAGGTTAGACTACTGCAATGGCCTGCTCACAGGTCTGTCCAAACAGGCTGTAAAACAGCTGCAGTACATTCAAAATGCAGCAGCTCGAGTCCTGACTAGAACCAGGAAGTACGACCACATTAGTCCAGTCCTCAGGTCCCTGCACTGGCTTCCTGTGGCTCAGAGAATAGACTTTAAAACAGCTTTGCTTGTGTACAAATCTCTCCATGGCCTCGCACCAAAATATATTAGTGACATGTTAGTCTCATATGAACCAGCCTGGACTCTGAGGAGCACAGGGACTGGACTCCTGTTAGTGCCCAGAGTCAGAACTAAACATGGGGAGGCTGCTTTTCAGATTCATGCTGCTAAAATCTGGAACAATCTTCCTGAAGATGTGAGACAGGCCTCCTCTCTGACAATGTTTAAAACCAAGTTAAAACGGTGCTGTTTAGCTGTGCATACAACTGAGGGATTTTATATTTTTATCTTTCTTTTTAATGTTCTGTGATTATTTATGATTTTAATGCTATCTTGTTCAGCACTTTGAGTTGCCTTGTGTATGAATTGTGCCATACAAATAAACTTGACTTGACTTGACTTAAATGAGTACAAGGGAGACTGAGTAATGTAAAAAATAATATTGTATTTGTAAATGTTTTGTTTTTTTTGTAAAAAAATAGTGGTAATGACGACAACAACACAATAAGCAATCAGTAAACAAATAAGGTACAAAAAAAAACAACCACAATATTCAAAGTAAATACAAATAAATAAAGATATTTCTCATGGTAAATGAGAGATGACAGTTAATGTTTGCCTCATAATACATCCATGGTTTGCCTCCTCAAAGTTCAAAGTTATTTACAAAACTTTCCCTACTTTGTCATTATATCATGTTGTTTCCTGTTTTGTCTGCTTTGTTTTGCTCAATCAGCTGTTGGTTAAGTGTTATTTCAGCCTGAAAAGTTATGTTTAAGTGCAGGCTATATATGTGCAGAAACGCTACTGTCTTTTTAAATTGTGCTAGTTTTTGTTGTATACGTATGCACTTAATAGCATCGTTTTAAACATAAGGTCAAATACATGAAAGATAGGCGACCACGGTCATTGAAATGGTATTGATATGTATTGAATCAAACATCAACTGGCTGCTGTTTTGTTTGAATTGGCTGATCGTGACTAGTCAACTCAAAAAATGTATTGTATTTTGGGCTATACAGACTCCAAGCCACCGAGAGACTTGATATAAAACGCTTTATTCTAACAAAAAGTACAAATGAAATGAAACAACGTCCTATTTTCTTGGATAATTTATAACATCTATTCACGTTGTTCATTTGTGGAACTATTGATTCTCATAGTGGCCTCCAGAATAGACAGGGCACGCACTATGGGGACGATTGTAATGCCACTTTCCATTACTGCTGCCATTTGTCCTGGGTTTTGTTCAGAGAGACAGAGCTCTTAAGGAGTGATGCGGAGGCTGATTTCTGATGACAGGTTGCCCACGGCGGTGATAGGAGGTGGTCAGGGTGAGCAGAATGAAACCTAAATGTCTGCCCAATACAGTCAATATGGGGCGGTTTTGAAATACAAAAGAACAATGATTGGGTGATTTAAAGGTTTTCGGTATGTGCGGCTGAGAAGTTTCTCCGTCGTATTATTATTATTAATAATAGTAATAATAATATTAATATCAGTACATAATAAACCTAACCCTAACCCAAACTGTGAAAAAAGAATTAAAAAAAACATAATAATTGTGTGTACTTTCTTCACAGATTTCCTGACCATAGCGACCATACTGGGAACAGGGATCCTTGGTGAGGGCATTTTTGTAGTCTAACATTTATTAGTACAAAATGAGAGATCCATTCTTGCTAAAAGTAAATACACATTACTGTGTGGCGTATACTAGGAAAATGTGAATATTGTCCAAAAGTTAATTTATCTTAAAATGTGGAACTCATATGATACAGACTCATGACAAGCAAAGTGATAGATTACTATATACCGTAAACACATGTTTTTTTTCTGGGAGGCAGCTATCAACTTTAATCAAAGTTAGTTTAATAATATAAGTCTTCTAATCCCTTTCTGCCAAGTGTATTATATGTTTTCTCTGACAATGGGTTTTATTGGAATCACAACAATTATGTGCTTGGGGGAGTGTGGTTTCACTGAGATTAAACGGGACATTAGATTTTAATTGCATCATTTCAGGTTTGAGAGCTTAGTGCTGCTGACCACTACTGTTTTAAGAATTAAATTACACTTCATTATGATTTAAATCCAATCAAACTGTTTTAGAATCGTGTGCTGACCTTGTGATCAATCCCATTAGATTGAATGAACAAAGCAAAACATATGGATGTCAAGTGAATCAAATTTGAGCGTGAAGTAACTATTTCTTCATATTTTGCAGGTCTTCCAGTGACGATAGCTCACGCAGGACTGTTGCCTTTCCTCGTCTCATTTCTGGTGGGATTCTCTGTCCAGGTTAGACATTATCATGAGAAAAACTCGACACAAGACGTGAGAAATGTTGATGTAACGATAGTGTTATAGTGCTGCGCTTGTCTAATGGAAGACTATTCTTGGGTTTCATATGACGTCAGGGAAGAGGCGCGAATAACAAACGTGAGACATGACGTAACGTTTCCTGCCGGGTTTATACACCGAGATATAGTAGAAGAAGAAGCGCTGTCAAAATGCCATCTTTTTGTGCGGTGTACGCTTGTAGCAACCGCGCAAATGGAAAGACAAGAGTTTGTTCCGGGTTCCATCTGTGGTCCCATGTAAAGGAGTACACTTTGAAAAAATCACTGGAATGAGGCGGGCGAGGTGGATCAAGGCTTTCCCAGATAAGCGCCCCCTGCAGGCCACCTGAATGAAACACAGCAATTTCTTCTGGTTTTTTTTCTCCCAAAAATGCCCAAAATCAAGACTCTTTTGAGAACTATTTTATTGTACTACCTTAGAATTGAGTGTCCCCCTCTCGATTAAGACTGTTACAACAACCGTACACCGCACAGGATGAGAGCCTTTTGAATCCCACCTCTGCTCATTCACCCCCTACAGGCCAGTTTAATGAAACCCAAGAAATGTTGTGGTATAAGAACCGATTCATCATTAGTATCAAAAATATTAAATCAGCACATTTAAATATTATAATGTTTTCATCAAATCAATACACTATTTAAAAATCTTATTTTTCAGGCCTTGTTGATCTACCTCTTTGTGGACCTCCTTCAGAGATGTCAGGTCATTCAACTGGAGACGTTAAAGGTAACTAGTCTGACCTGACTTTCACTTACAACCAAGAATTAGTTCATTTTAAAGGTACATTATTCAACTTTAATGCTATATTTGACCTTGTTTATGCTTGTATATTTATTGTATTGACCTTGTGTATATGTGTGCCTTTCTGCTGCTGCTACCAAATTGCCCCTCAGGGATAATAAAGACACTTTGAACCTTTTTGACCACGGTTGTGTCTACAGTGCTCCAGGATCAACTGTTTTATAGGTTTTCTGGTTCGGGGGTTTGTCAGCAGAGAAAACTTTACACACAATTGATCCTAAAGCTGGCTAAAGACCACTGTGATAGGAAGTAAAAGCACCATGCTGACCATTCATACTGCCACTGGGTCGCTCCAAAGTCAAATCCGCAATAATGTGTTACTTTTTCTTTGCATAAAAGATTGGGTAATGCCCCTTTAATAATGAGTAAATAATAATGCTTTCACTTTTTATAGAGCCTGTCATGACACCCAAAGCTCTTATATTCCATACACAGTTGTAGCAAACTTCCAGGCCTTTTTGCCCACAACAATTGTAAAACGCTTTGTGACTCTGGTCTGTAAAAGGAGCTGTATAAATAAGCATTACTCACTTACTGTGGCAGACTGACAGAAGTAAGACTAATCATCTGTTTCCAACAATTGTGCTGTGTCACGTACTAACAATTCCCCTGACCTGCTGTATGTTTACAAGCAGTTATGGCCCCACAATGAGATGTTTCATAACTTTCAGAGCCCTGGGCGCAGTTTGCTATTACTGTGACTGAACAAAAGCTAGCCATTTTTTTTCTCCATTTCCATTGTTTGTCTTTTTTATAATGTATAATTAGAATGAGAAGAATGAAGAACATATTTGAACATTTTTTCTATTTCACCCAGCTTTTGTGGAAGCTCAACAATGCAATACCTTTGTGTGGATTGATTTGTTGCTGTGTGCATGTGTTCAGACTGGAGTGGCAGAGTGCATTGTGATGAGCCCCATGGGAGTAGAACCACCAGCCTTAACAGACGACGAAGAGGATGATGACGGGGAGAACACTCGAGCTGGTACAATCTTTTATTTATTTACAAGTGTGACACAGTTTCCCAAAATGCTGCTAACTCAAGGTTCCTAAGGAGGTCTGAAACACAACCTAATTGGACAAAACTAGTCTGTGTCTCTGCGTACATTTTTATTCTTCTTTTTAGATCTTTCTTGTTTGTTTTGAGCCAATAGCATTTCTTGATTCATCTATCTATTCATCGAGAAATACAGATGTGAACAATACAGACCTATGGTAACGTCAGAACTCTGTCATTTGAATTTTTTTTTCTGTTACAGCATCAGTATATTTCTTTAGTGCTTTTATACGGACCATGTTTCCTATGAAGTTAAGCTTTTTCTCCGTGTTTCAGTTAAACATGTGCAGCGAGGGATTGTATGCATTTCTGTGCTCTTAGATACATCTGCCAGTCTCAAAAGGATCCCGTCTACATGGCTCAACAGCAATAGAATCTGTTTGATCTTGTTCTTCATTCAGCAAACAGTTTTACATTCAATTTAATTTATTTTTGCATAGGCCTAAATCACAACAGCAGTCATCTCAAAATTGTTTGCTCATTAACAACAGATTAGGGAATCAAAGGGAGCGAGCGGGATAATCAATGTCCATGAATTCTTTTAAATACCCCGGATTTCTGTCCTTAGACCCTCCTGCATCAGCAAGGAACAGCTAAAAAGAAAACCGTGGGAGCAAGTGAGAAATCTCAGAGAGGCCCATTTTTAGGCAACGCTCCCTCGGACAGACAGGCTATAGATCCAGGACTCAGGCTGTAGAACGAGGACTGAGGCTGTGCAGTGCGGGACTGAGGAGGCTCCCAAGCGGGGAGGGGGGTGCAGATTACGGACCCGGACCGTGGAACATTGAAGATGGGTCTTGTTCAATCAGCTTCAATTAGAATTGGCCAAGGATCCGGTTTGTAGTGAGTTGCAAATGCTCATCACGATCCAATTATGTTATTTGTCGTCATTGTTAATTTGGTCAAGTGATGTTTTAACGAGGCAGGCAAAAAATAAACTTGACGTTGTTGTGTTTCAGACACAGGGTTGCTTTACCCCAGCTCCTCCTCAGCACCTGCGCCTCAGCCAGAGAGCCTGCAGCCACACCTGCACATGCTGGGCCGACTCTTCCTGCCACGACCCATGAGCCACGCATTCAACTTCATCCTGCTCTTCCACTTGTGAGATCATCTCTTTATGCAGTCGTCTGCTTTTCAAAATTCTTGAATGTTTTTGCTCTGACACCTGTATCTGTTTTATAATTAACATTATTAAAACTTTTTTCTATCATAGTAAATAACATTGGCATTCCAGGTATATTATCCAAAATATGGCTTTATTTATTCAAAACTTTATACCAGCCATTCCCAAAGTCAGTGGCTTAAAAATCTGACGGGTCTGCGCGGCCGCCAAAATAATAACCAAGAAGACAACGTTAAAAATAGGCTTTTCTCGTCATTTTATTTGGGGGAAATTGCCTCTGCTACAAACATGTAAATGACGCACCCAATTTTGTAAAACAAAAATGATTACAATTTGATTATTCAAGTCAAATAATGAACACAAATATTTTAATATTACAAACAAAATATTATTAATTTAACATACAATAATTATATAAAAAAAAAGAAAAAAATGTATGACCTCTCGCAGCCCCCCCTGTAAAACCCGTGGTCCGCGGACCCCACTTTGGGAGACACTGCTTTACACCAATGTATGCAAAACTAACATATGCACTCTTTTGTTGTAAAAAGAAAAGCCGTGGCAGTGTTTGGAAGTGTATTCGAAGTGTATGCATACAGACTCTCACTCTAAGTCCCTACACCACTCTGTTGTATGTATCACAAGGGACATTTTCTTACAAGTATGCAAAAACATGATCTATAGCCTGTCCATCTGTGGGAGCAGATCCCTCTCTCAGTGTGGGCCTCCCCGAGGTTTCTCACTTTTTTCCCCACTGGGTTTTATTTGAGTTGTTCCAGAAGGGTCTAAGTACATTGAAGATCCGGGACATTAAATGGACATTTATCAACATTTATGGACATTTATTACTTTTGAGGACATTGGTCATCCCACTAACTCTATAGAACAATGGCTCCTTTTGTATTTGTTTGTTTTCATTGCATTTCCTGACTTTGAACTGTTTGATTCTCTGATCTGTTGAATCGACCACTTTGTCATGTCCTCTGAGAAAACTGTTGTTGTGATTTAGGGCTCTACAAAAATGATTGAATCAAAATAAGATGACGACAGAATGCTAAGGATCTGATTTATTGACAATATTTCACTCTCAATATTTTCATCTCTTGTTTTATGAAAAAATAAATGTTAAATGTTACATAAATACAACCACCACTGCACCGTGCACTGCTCTAATCCCCCTCAGACATATTTGCCATGTCCTGTTCCATACATGTACAACAATATTGTATCAATGTTAAGATTAAGAGATAAAGAGATCCTTTATTCGTCCCACAGTGAGAACATTTCAGTGTTGCATCACCAGATACACAACAATAGGGGTAGCACACAGCACAAGAAAAAATTATCAATAACTCTATAATAAATAAAATAAAATCTCCAACTCATCAAAAAGAAACAATTATAAAATGTCTATCTTTAAAACAATAAGAAGCAAGTATAAAGTACTGTGTGTATATATAGTGAAAGTAATATGTAGTTGTATGTATACATCTGTACATGTTAGCAGCATATGAGGGTCTGGGACAAAGTAACTGTAGATTATTATTGCAATTATTGTTATTGCATCAGTAAGGTAAAGTGACAGTGACACTAGTGGTTCTTTATTGCACATTCTGACAAAGCTGCTCAAGTGGTTTAAAGTTTCCCCCTGTGTAGTGATGGGTCAGGGTGCTGTCCTCGGTCTCCACTGTCTGTATAGATCTGCTTTTGCTTGTTGAATCCTTGTGGCTCGGCAGCACATGGAGGCAGCAGAGCGGACAGAACCGGCAGACACCCACAGGGGGCAGCGTAAACAGCTCTTATCGGTGAGCACCTGTCTGATCGAACGGCGTGTGGATCAATGCTGGACTCTGCATGAAGCGCCTCAACCGTGTAACCTCCCCTGTCCTTCACACTCCACTGGGACCAATGGTTTTATCTCACAGTATGTGGAGCAAGGACAAAGATTGCAGAGTAAGACAGGAAAACACAGAAAGGGTAACAGGTTTAAGGACAGGACCGGAAACTGGGGTCTGTGAATTACCAAGCAAATAATAGTCATTCCAAACTATTGGAGGGGGGGGGGGGCTGTCGTTGTGTCCTTGGGCAAGACAAAACCCCACACTGCCTGAAGCTCCCGCTGAAACACCAAGGCGGTGGCACCACTGTTGTAGCAACTCTGAATGGTCTAATAAAGGGGTAGAAAATGAATGAATGAATACCGTCAGGGCCATTGTGTCTGGTGTTTCACCTCCTGTCTGGGTGGGTTTCCTCCATGCGCTCCAGTTAACCCCCACCAATTCAATTCTCGTAGGGGATTAAAAGTTAAAAGTTCACAAATATAGCTGGGTGCCAGACCTAAATGAGCTTTAAAAGTGATCAGTAAAATCTTAAAATCAATTCACTCATTCTAAAACACTCAGGGAGCCAGTGGAGGGACGCTAAAACAGGGGTGATGTGTTCCCTTCTGTTAAAGTGATTGTCTGGAGTTTGTCAGAAAGAGAGAGAGAGGAACAGGATTTGAAAAAAACGACCCAAGCTCCCTCCCCCTTCCTTTCTGATTGGTCTACACCTACGTTTCCGTAACACATTTAAATGTTAATTAGAGAACACATTATACATATACATTATTAATACACATGCACGGAGGTTTTCAGAATTATTTGTTAAAGTTTTCATGACAAAAATAATGTTTTAATGCACAAAAAATGCGATCGCGGTAAACCCGGAAGTAGCGATTAACATTAATTGAACATTATAGGACACATCTGCAGAGGATCTGATTTATGGATATAGGTTCAGTATATAAATGGGAAACTCAGCGCGGATGTTCAGAATTCTTTGTTCAGCTTTCATGACGTTCGAGAGCCTATAAAGGCTTGATTTGAAGGCTCCGCAAAAACGAACAATTGGATTGGTTAACGTGGACAGCATCGTGGATTCTGAGCTATAGCTAAGAGAAGGGAAGGCGGGACTTTCCCGTAATATTAGAATTCACAAAATGACTTATTTTATATCAACATTTAAGACCAGTAGGTCAATTTAATACAATTCTTAAAATTAATTTAGAGTTCCAGACGATCACTTTAAAACCAGTAAGAAGTCTTGCTGCTGTGTTCTGAACCAGTTGGAGGCGGGAGAGAGAGAAGGGAGGTGAAATAATCATATGATCACTTATGGATTGGACTTTTTCATCACTAGCTACTGTAGGACACAGACACTTACCAGATATAAGTGTGCTCTTAGCATTTAAATGCGCAGGTCTCCGCAGATGACCAGAAGCCTTGTTCTTCCTCTTCGGTAGTAACCAGACTGTAAATATTGTAGTAACGTGCGTGTGTTTTGTGATGACGTAACATCCGGTCCCTCCAGCCAATTGGCGCGCTGAGCCCGCCCCTTAAAAAAAGGGTCAGGTGAAAAACGTATTGTAATTGTAACTTTTGACTCGTAAGCGCAGCTTGCGAATCGTAAAGTATTATGAAGCAAAACATGAAAAATCAGATGCGTAAATGTAAGTTTTACGTTTACTACAGTTTTTTTCCGTTACAATATTTTTTTATGTTTACAATACTTACAACCTACTTTTACAATTCCTGCTTTACGGTTACGTTTAAGCAGACCCTATTTAACGCCATAGTTATGGGCCATCCAACTGTTCACATTGTTTAAACAGTCGACCACAGCAGCCAGACTTCCAGGGTCGTTTGGTCTCAGCGGGAGGTACTGTATATCTGTGTTTCGTCCGCATAGCAGTGGAAGGACACGTTATGACGGGCCATAATGTGTCCTAGGGGGAGCATATGAATAGAAAATAAACTAAATCACAACAGTAGTTTCCTTGGAGAACTTTAGGACAGTTTAAACACAATAAGACACATTGGTTTTTAAAATAAAACTGCACTTTATTTATCCCCTTGGGGTAATTCATCCTCTGCATTTGACCCATCCTGATAGCACTTGGGCAGGAGCAGTGGTCGCCATAGTACAGCGCCCGGGGCCCCATCTCCAGAAGTTGATGCCCAGCTTGGTCAGGACTGCCGGAGCTGGTGGATTTTACCTATTGTACATATTTTTAGTGGCAGGAGAAACCAGAGCACCCGGAGGAAGACCTATACATGCACAGGGAGAACATGCAAACTCCACTCAGAAAGACCCTATTCTGTGATATCCACTCAGCCTGGTATTGGTCCATAACCAACCAAAACATGCTCTGGTAGTCCTGACTGCTGCCCAAGCCGAGCATCAACACTTGACATGGGCCACTGGGCGCTGCACTGTGGCGACCACTGCCTCTGACCTGTGGCAATTACGTGAATTACAGAGGAATGGTTTTCCTATGGGTACAATTAACTGCGCCTCAATCCAAACAAGAGCATTGCAATATTAGTATTTATTTGATGTTAGAATGTTCCAGCTCTGACCTGCTTTGTCATTTTGTTTGTTTCAGTATTTCCATTGGCATCAGTTATGTGCTGGCAGGAAGTGAAGCTTATGCCTCTCTCCTCAATATTGAGTAAGTGTTCCAGATGCATTTTGTTATAAGGAAGCAATTCCACCAGTGAAAATGTCGTACTGCCAATTCATACTTCATAAGAACAAGGGCAGAGTCCTCGGCTCAAATGTTCATGCATCATAAGAACTGTGCAGCAGAAGCTTCCTATCGCATCAGCACTTTTTTCATCTGTAGCTCATTGGGATGCTGAGAGAAATTCAGCACTAAAATGTATAAACACATTTATGAAACACTTTAATTATTTAAAAATTATGTCATTTTGTTATTGCAGCCCGAGGAGAGCAAACATCTTACGTATTCTGCAGTATGAATTGGGCTTTAGTCCAACTACGTCCATGTTGTCTGCTTTGTACTTCAACGATGTCGGTTTCATGCAAAGACAAGTACTTGATGTTTTTATCTTATCATATTTCTGCTGCTGAGCTACAAGTATTCTTCAGATTGGTTACAGCTGATGGTGCTTCCTGGGAGGACTAAAAGAGAAAAAGTAGAACAGCCGTACCAAATCGCAGCACGAGAAATAACCACATTATGAATTGGGATTGGGCACGAGCTATCACATCAGAAAACTACTAAGTCAATGCTGGATTAATGAAGCAATGAAAATCAGGGATCAGAAGGCATCAACCGTGATGACGGGGCCTCCTTCCTGTCCCACACATGGTACAACCTCGCAAATGTGAGCATTGGGCGAGACGGGGTGTGGTCAGGCCTCCGCAGGAAGCATCATCACCAAGTGTGACTCGTCATCAAGGCTCCTGACAGTTCTGTAGATGTTAACAAGGGAACAACATCTCTCAGTGCTTGTCTTTCCATTAGAACCTGTGGAGAACTGTTGTTGATAATGTGAAATTTCATTATCAGCACTTTCTAACAGTAATGAGGCAAAATGTGCTTTATAAAAATGTGTACTTATGGATAAATACTGACCTTAGATACTGTGCAGGATCATTCTTTAAAATAAAGATACATTTGAACTTATGAACGTGGTCTTATCTGTCCAAATGCTTCTTTCTCAAACTTTGTACACTATGACAGCTCCTCAGTCTGTGAGTCCAGGACAGAACAATTGTTTGTCTTTTAAAACATTTTGAAAGCTTCAAAGTCAAATTGTCATTTATAACTGTGGGCCTTCAGTTACATAGTGACATGTTAGATCTTTACTGTAATAGCAGAATGTAATTCCCCACTTCCTCCGGTTGATGGGGCTTTATCCAAATAGTTTCTACTCAATACATCATCGGTAAGGCATGGAATGCCAATGGGAATTTTCTTAAGATCATGCTTAAATTGTGAATGTTTTGTGATTTTTCTCTGTTGTAGTCACATCTATGTAATCCCAGTGTTCACCTGGATCCTCACCTTGTCCATCCTCCTGGCCCATAGAGTCATTCAGCCAATCACATCTGTGCTCACGCTGCTCAAGGGACTCCTCCTCATTGTGACAGTAGGAAGTTTTCTTCTGAACTTGGATTCAGTAATCCATACATAAAGAGGTCAATAGTGAAGTTAACGGTTCTGCTGACGGTCTGGTTTGCAGGTGGCAGTGACCTTTGCAGTGGGAGCAGAGGTGGGCCTTCACAGCAGCAGTGACTTCTCTCAGATGGGACGTCCCTTCCTCATGGGCACCGTAGCTCTGGGTGAGAATTATTTGTGCTATCCTTGGGTCAAATTGACCCGCCACAGTGATTAAAAAATTCCCTAAATGTTTTTAACTAAAACTCTAAATATCCAAACTCTAAATATTATGAGATAAAAGTCAGAACAATTCACAGTTGGTTTGTAAAGGAAGCAAAGGAGCTCCATCGTACATACTGTTGCAGCTAAAGTAGTCATAGAAATCTGTGTTCTTTCACCTGCAACATATCATAGAGTCACAGTTCATTACAAATAACACCACTGTTACATTGGGCAAGAGTATATGAAAGCATAAAACCATCTAGTGCTTCTTTGAACTCTGAACAAGATGTCTCTGTTAAGTTCAAAATTTAGTACGATGGAGCTTCATTTTCTACATTGTGCACTGAATGTGAATTTTTCTGACTTTTATCTCATAATATTTCAAGTTTATTCTCATAATATTTTGACATTAATCTCATGATATTTTGAAATTATTCTCATATTTTGCTGATTATTTTAACATTTGTCATTATCTTGAATATTAATACAAATTTAATCCTGCATCAGTAAAAGAACAGTTCAATGTTTTATGTTTCAGGAGGGATTGTGAACGTGATGCCCATGCTCTACTCTCAGATCTCCCACAGCAAGAACCAGGTACTTTCTCCTGCTTCAGGTCTGTGCTCCCGACTGGACTACATTGTTTGTATAATGTACTCACATTATGTTAGGACTAGAAGTTTCCTTGACCAGCGCCGTGCCACACGGGGCTCACATCAGAGAACCAGATAATGCTCCATCAGTCTCATTGTGGACGAGCTCTCATGTGTGAGTGCATGTGTTTATGAGCAGTAAACATCTGGAGCCCGGAGCGGCTGCACAGCACCAAACAAAGTCACTGCAGAAGTTTACTCTGAGTGCAGCAACAGCAAAACAAACCAGTGTGAGCGCTAAAGACAGCACACAGATAATGAGGAACTCTACACTGAAGGATCCACTAAACCTGGGTTTACATGCACCGGGAAAAGTGTGGACACACACTTTGTATCATTATGTATAGTCAATATACCGTATGTACATTTACTGTATATGTACAGTGTAATAAAGATATTATTTCAATAATTATTAAGCTTTGAGATACAAATTGTAATACGTTTTTGTTCGGTGTCTCACATCTGTCATCACCATATGTGGAGAGAATGGAAATTACTGGCACAAAAAATGATTAAGCGCTTTTTCTGACCTTGGTCTATGAATCTCACTATATAAATAAAGATTACTTACTTAATTTAACTTGTCATCAACACATTTCTGTGAAAATGCTTCCTTTTACTTTTTATATTGTGGTTAAAAGTTGACTATAAAAATCTCATTTATACATGAATTAACATTTATCTGACAATCAATCGGCAGCACTCGTAGTTTTCCATGTGTTTGTCCCGTTCCAATAACATCATGTCTTTCCAGATCCTGTGGTTTCGGAGAGCCGTCCTGGGAGGCCTGAGCACGTGTACGCTGCTCAACATACTCTGGTGAGTGTTACTCCTTTGTTTGAGAACTACTCAACCTGTATCGCAGATTTTGTGAAAACAAATTCACCTGTTTGAAAGGCGGTACAAAATCTATGTATAAGGATTACCAATTTACCTACACCCACACAGTATAACATGCACTTTAACTATAGTGCATTAAAAACACAAAAGAGAGTGGTGGGAGAATTAGGGCGAACTGCGATTTTATGAATTGACTTGTATGTATGAAGGATGGTGCTTAGGGTGGTTTCACTGAGGGACAATGTAGTGGAATAAAAGGAATAATAATGATTTCTAATGTATGACATGACATGAAGTGAAAGCTGGACAATGTTTTTCAAAATGAGCCAGTAAACTAACAAATAATAATAATAGTACTGAAATGTTTAAATACGGCGGGACAATATAAATAAGACTAGGGAGTTATTGATGTTTGTTCTGTTGAATAAAGCAGAATTATGTAATATAAAAGAAAAAACATTTGCAACTCAAACAGCAGATTGTTTTCAAGCAATTAAACAAAACTTTTCATGTTGTTTCTCTAATCTGTTCAAAAGGCAGACTCCATAACGTTGTAAATGACATGTACACAGATGGCACGTGCTCTCCTCGCTACAGCGCTGTGAGGGAAACGACAAATGTCTTTTACCAACTCACTAAATTGTTTGTGCCTTCCAAAGTCTGCTCTGCTTCTGTTGTGGAACGTATGGGATTTCCTGCTTTTATTATTTTTTCAATTTCACAGTGGCTTCTTAATTGTGACATTTGTACAATTGATATCCGCAGTACTAATGGGATTGCTGACAAACTGAAAAGTTTAGAATATTAATTAGGTAGATGCCACTGGTGCCATAGTGTGGCTGTGTCTCTGTTACAAATACAAATAATATACTCATTCATTAATTGTTTGATTTAATCACAGAAACCAGTAAATAAAGAAAAATTTCAGCAAATGAAAATAGTCATAGTTATCATTGTCACCTATCATATATAGCAAGGGTGTTGAATTTGGGCTGAATTTTAACAGTAATGGATGGGGCTCACTGCTGCTTTTCCCAACTCAAAGTTTGCGACAGTAGCTCAGTTGGTAGAGCATTGGCCTTAAGGCCTGAAGGTCGTGGGTTCAATTCCCACCTCTACACCTTCTCCACCGACTCCCGCTGATGACTCCTGTCGTTGTGTCCTTGGGCAAGACACTTAACCCCACTTTGCCCAAAGCCCCCACTGAAAGATCAAGGCTATGCTCACACTCAGAGAGCAGCCGTCCTCCTGTGGACTCACCACCTGCAGAGGGTCAGTGAGGGGCTGGTGCTCTGAGACTTGGGTGGCATCTCTGATTGCCACCCCCCTGACCCAGAAATGGATTAAAGGGTAGAAAATGGATGGATGGATGGAAGTTTGTTTTTACATTTATTTGTGTTTTTTGGACAAAATAATCACTTGTATTTAACATGTTTGGTAACTGTATTCTGGTAGCTTTTTATGAACAGTATTATTTCAGTTACTGTTTTTTTTGTCCAAAATTGGATGAAGGCAGAGCAATTGTAGACACTGCTGATGGCGCAGGTGTGTAGAAGGCCTGCAGACACATGTGAAGATCCCAGGACAGGTTTCTTACTCTCCACCAGCTCAGTCCACACCGACGAGGGGCTGCCTTGTACATTTTTGGGGAAATCCACAATAAACTCGTTTGTCGTCTTGATTTTCAGTAGAGGTGGCAAAAGTACCTGTTTAGTCAATTGTAAGTGTTTGAACATTACCTCTGCCCAGAAGGTAACGTGATCACTACTGTTGGACAGTGAGCAGCATCACTTAAAAAGGTGATTTGGCGCAAAAGGATTTGGCGCAATGTCCCCAGTGCAGGACAGGTTGCATTTAGGAGTTTATTTGAAGCATGTGGACAATGTCGCTCGTAGCGGGTCAGAACATCCCGAGACTGTGTAGCATTACTGTTGGTGTGAAGAAAGTTACTGTCGGTGTGAAGAAAGTTACTGTCGGTGTGAAGAAAGAAGAAAGTTACTGTCGGTGTGAAGAAAGTTGTTGTCGGTGTGAAGAAAGTTACTGTCGGTGTGAAGAAAGAAGAAAGTTACTGTCGGTGTGAAGAAAGTTCCTGTCGGTGTGAAGAAAGTTACTGTCTGTGTGAAGAAAGTTCCTGTCGGTGTGAAGAAAGTTACTGTCTGTGTGAAGAAAGTTACTGTCGGTGTGAAGAAAGAAGAAAGTTACTGTCGGTGTGAAGAAAGTTGTTGTCGGTGTGAAGAAAGTTACTGTCGGTGTGAAGAAAGTTACTGTCGGTGTGAAGAAAGTTGTTGTCGGTGTGAAGAAAGTTACTGTCGGTGTGAAGAAAGTTACTGTCGGTGTGAAGAAAGAAGAAAGTTCCTGTCGGTGTGAAGAAAGTTACTGTCGGTGTGAAGAAAGAAGAAAGTTACTGTCGGTGTGAAGAAAGTTACTGTCGGTGTGAAGAAAGTTCTGTCGGTGTGAAGAAAGTTACTGTCGGTGTGAAGAAAGTTACTGTCGGTGTGAAGAAAGAAGAAAGTTACTGTCGGTGTGAAGAAAGTTGTTGTCGGTGTGAAGAAAGTTACTGTCGGTGTGAAGAAAGTTACTGTCGGTGTGAAGAAAGTTGTTGTCGGTGTGAAGAAAGTTACTGTCGGTGTGAAGAAAGTTACTGTCGGTGTGAAGAAAGAAGAAAGTTCCTGTCGGTGTGAAGAAAGTTACTGTCGGTGTGAAGAAAGTTACTGTCGGTGTGAAGAAAGAAGAAAGTTCCTGTCGGTGTGAAGAAAGTTACTGTCGGTGTGAAGAAAGAAGAAAGTTCCTGTCGGTGTGAAGAAAGTTACTGTCGGTGTGAAGAAAGAAGAAAGTTACTGTCGGTGTGAAGAAAGTTCCTGTCGGTGTGAAGAAAGTTACTGTCGGTGTGAAGAAAGAAGAAAGTTACTGTCGGTGTGAAGAAAGTTACTGCCTCCTGTTGTTTAACTCAGCCTTTCGGTGCTTGTGGTTTGCGATGTTGACACGTTTGCTGTTATGACGCAGGTTTCTATTTCTATTTTGTCTAATTATTTTTCTAAAAGCAACTCTGTGGAACAAAAACGTGATTCTTCCATCCTTTTTGTCTCTTATCAACCAATGTATTTCAAGATGCCGCATTCCAGCTCTCATGTACATTTATAGGTCAAATTCTAAGCCTATGACAACAATTAAAAAACATGGTGGAGAACCTAGATAATGCACTTTAGTTACTTCCCACCGCTGACCGTGGCACCTCACTCCTCCGTCTCATCGTTGCCAATGCGAGGTTACTGAAAACCGTACTCTTGCTCAAGTACATTGTCAAAAAAAACGTAATCTTGCTCTTGATCACTTCCACCCCTCCTACTCCTGAAGCATTGAAGCTCAATAAAGCATTATCCTCCAATAGCTAGTACCGCCCTCCGTCAGTTCCACTTTGGGCTTGTGTGTGTCCCGCTTGACGTCCCGATAAGCAATCTCCACCTCCTGCCCATTTTTCAGACCATAATTTTGATGGATCTTTATCGCGGGGGACATAACTCTGGTGAGGGCAGCGCGGCACGGTGAAGGAGCGATGGTATAAAACAGAAATGCTGCCGCGTCTGGAGCATTCAAGCGCGGGCACAACAAATGAGCGTGTAAATCTGTCCGGCTCCAAGGAAGAGAGGGAGTGAGAGAGAACAGAAGAAAACAAGAAACTCAAAGAGGGAACTTTTTATTTATGCTCACCAAATGTGCTAATGACTGTGCGTAGATACATGGCTCTTTATGCACTTCATTACAAGTGGATAGGGAATACATTCAAATACTCAAGTCTAGAAATAAAACTGTTCACCCACATTGCCTCGAATGAGTCTGGTGTGTGTGTGTGAATGACTGGTGGTGGTCAAAGGGGCCGATGGCACATACTGGTGGCCTCGCTTCTGTCAGTGTGCCCCAGGGCAGCTGTTGCTACACTGGTAGTTTATCACCACCGTGTATGGAGTGAATGAATAATGACATGGGAAGCGTCTTTGAGTGAAAAGTGCTATATAAAACCAATGCATCATTATAATTATTGATAATATTGGAATCTTGTGTTTTGATTGGAACTAATTATAGCAGAATTGTTGATCTTGAGCCAATTATCTGAGAATATCTGATATTTCTCGTCCGTTCATTTACCTCCTTGTTTTTAGCATTTCTCAATCACTTTTGGTACAGTGAGCAGAGACGTCCAAACTTCCCTCTCTCTCTCTGAAGACATTTCCAGGCCCGCTGAGAGATGTAGTCAGTGCAGTGTGTCTTGAGTCTTACCTGGGGTCTCTTCCTAGTAGGACATGAGCAGAACAGGAAGCATCCAGAACAGATCCTCTCGTATGTTGAGGAGGAGTGGTTTTACTCTCAGCTCTTAACATGATTGAGCTCCTGCCAGCTACTTCACAGAGAAAACGTATCATTTTGATCATTACCCAGAGCTAATGACCACTGAGAAAAACGATGAGGTTATAATTGCTTTAATCGCTTGGTTTTTATCTTAATTTTAGTTCAGGCTGGCTGTCTTAAAATGAGATTTGCCAATGGGACTATTTCAAGAACTGTAGCTGCAACTGTAGAACTGGAGACATTTCTTGTATCTTTTTTAAAACAAAGATATTAGCAAATACCATTGGCAAATCTTGCCTTAAAACAGTCAAAATTTGCTCAAATGAAGATGTATTTTGTTAAATTTGAGCAATTTTGGACTTATTTTTCATCACTTTTGTCAGTGCAGTAAAGTATTTTCCTTTCGACTCTTCCCAACCACAGTCTGTTTCAACTGCCTCCTGATTTGATGAGACCAACAGCTCTACATTTACTCTATAGCAGGCATGTCTAAACTCCCATAGACTGCTGGTTCTACGTAGTTATTGAGGTACTTTCAGTGTCATCCAGCCAACTTCAGCTCCACCAATAAAGTCATAAAGTTATAAAGCCAGACGTTATTATAGTTATATATTCTGGAGTTTGTTATTGATTGCGTCACAAATCAATACGGACATGTCATACCCCATTTTAACACTCAGACTCCCAGATGTATGAAACTACTAGAACTAGGAGAGTCATCATTTTGATTCCCCCCATTTCAAGTCAGTGGCATTCTGAAAAATGCATGATATGATGATGAATGTACGTACCTTCAGATTTATTCAAATTTACCTTTACTCTGTTTTAATAACTGCAAAAACGGGGAATATCGCTTGAACTAGGGCTGGGCAATAAATTGAATTTAGGCAATTGATTGGCTTTTGAAAAAATCTAGTTTGTGAAAAATGTGAAAATTGTGAAATCGAATAAAGGATATTGTGAGAGTTCCAGCAGCACATGAATTATACTTTCAATATCAGCACAGTCTGTACAAGACTTTTATAATACGTATTGGGGGAAACAAATGAAAAATAGTTTTGAAACTTGATTATTGAGCGGAAAGATCAAAAAATATTTTTAAGGGCAAACTTTAATGAAATTGATGTAAAATCGAAATCGTCCAAAGCAGGAAATAAAATCAAGATTTTACTTTTTTGCCATTGCCCCAGCCCTAGCTTGAACTATAGAAAGCCAACAGATAGCAAGTTAACAATATGTTTCTATGGTTATTGAATTGAATTGAATTGAATTAAAGAAACACAAAACTTCACAAAGTTATGAAGATCAAAAATGTACATGAGCTGAGTAAACTAAAAGCCCTCAAATTAACTACTTTGGGAGTTCTGGTGTTAAGATAGCCACTCAGACAAATCCAGTCATAACAGTTTTACAATCCATGTTGTCGACCCCTGGATATGTCTGGTGAACTAAAGTGGTCCTCTTGCTAAAATGTTTGGACACCAGTGTGCGTGTGCGTGTGTTCGTGCGTGTGTGTGACACGACTATTGTGTAAGCTGCAGTATTGTAATGCACTGTGAGGTCCTGATGACGTGCTGTTGTGTTGCAGGTGCTGGGCGGTGCTGGAGATCGTCCCTCAGACTGCAGTCCAGAGCTCTCAGCTGAGTCACTCCCTTCCAGACCCCTCTCTGCTGCTCACCAACGTGTCCCTCGAACAGTTAGTACAAAACCATTCACATTTTATTTCATAGTTTGTATTTTATGATTTTTTTTCCTCTCAGGTTTCAAACTTGAGACAGCCCCAAGACTCTTTTGGATTTATGATAATGTTGTACCGCTTTTAATCAACAAACCCATAGATTCCATTCATTTGGATTATTTTTGAATCTCATATAATTTGAGAAATATTCATTGGAGCATTACATAACATTGATGTTATACCAAGGTCTCAATCGTTTTTAGAGAAAGTTTGTTTAAAAATCCTCTTTTGCATTTTTTGACACAATTAATTGTTTTTTATATTATTAGTACTTTTCTTTAAGTAGAGCTATGGATTTGAAATGAATGAAATGATCTTGACTGAACCAAAACTGGAGCAAATGTAAGAAAGACTTGTTAGTGCACACTGATGGACCAATTATTGTTATTATGAATTGTGTCATCAGTTTGGACATATTCACTTCAACAGACATATATTGCGTTTATTGTTATTGACGATATTCAATGTGTGTTTTTGTTGATTTAGAATAGGGACGCCCAAACCTAGTTAGTTAACCCCACTTGTCCAGGGGTCAACTGTGAAATTTGTAGAGCTGAAGTTGGCTGGATGACACAGTGAAAGTTCCTCAATGACCAAAAAGGGCCAGATACTATGACACAGTGGGCCAGATTTGGTCCGCAGGCCTTAGTTTGGACTTGCCTGTACTAAAGCATATGAATATGATGTGCATAATCCAGTAACATCCAGTTTTTATGTATATTTATAAAGCTTTATAAACGTTGAGGTCACTCGTTCCCGTAGCAACAGCGCCCCCCAATGGATGTTTAGTATAATAATCTGTCATCTCTTTCTGATGTGTTTAGGTCGGAACAAGCCGGAGAGATTGCAACTATTCCTCTCACAAAGGTGTGACAGAAACGTTTTCTTTTTTATGTGTGTGTGCTCGACGTTTTTATTATTATTTGGACTTGAATGATCAAATGTATTCTGCCAATTATTTTTTAGAACTTAAATGTTTCTTTTATCCATTCCTTACATGTGGCATCTTTGTTTCATGAATACATAGAGAATCTTTTTACACCTACAGAGATATAATAAAATATTAAATTAATGTGAAAATAATTGGAACGTTGCAGAGATGCCAAAGTTCAATGATTATTTAGCTCAACAGAAAAATAATTATTTGATCGGCCAATCAATATTTTTGAAGATTAGTATCAGTTAAAAAAAATGATAATTGGTGCACCTTTTTCTTTTCATATATTAGAATATAGTTCAAAAATTCATGTCTGCAATTTATTCAAAAATGTGAAACCAATGTATGAGAAATGTCTTTGTTTGTTATAATGTGGATGATTATGGCTTAACGTCAGTTTTCCAAATATTATATTCTCTGAGATGTTTTATTTAGGGTTTTTATAAGCTGTTAGCCAATGATCAACTATTTATCTACAAATAAATGCTGAATCTGTATCGGTTTCTCATTGTAAGCTGTAGACGTAAAAAGACTTTTGAACAGCATACACATTTTTGGAGTTTCACATAAATTTCTCTTCAATCCTTTATCAATGCCCATTATTACACCTCATCTTTGCTTCCACCTCTCACCAGCAAACACATAACAAAGATATTATTCATTGACCTCATTTCACAATGTACTGTATGTTTGTACATGTGAAACTAGGAAATCTAGGATATTGTTCAAAAGTCCATTTACTTCTGTATTTCAACTTGCAATGTTAAACTAATGTGTGCAAAGTAAGATCTAGCCCTCTGCAAAAAGTTACAAAATATAAGATAAAAATAAAAATGCATGAATCAAGTCTGTAATTGGAGTAGGTTTTGACTTTCTAAAAACAAGATTTGTCATGTTGCAATTTATGTCTCATTCCAAGAAAGATATTTCTTGATTTGTCTTGTATCTTTTTAAAACTAGACATTTTTGCTTGTCCCGATGGCAAATCTTGTTTTTAGATTGTCAAAATGTAGCCTGACTCTCGCCAGAGCCTTGTAGTTCGCTGAGCTTCATACAAGGGTCTGGGATTTCTCAATAGGAGATGTATTTCATAAGGTGGGGCCTTGTAAAAATCCTTGAATGTGATTGGATAAACCACTTGTCCGTTATCTTGAATCACGTGTTCCTTCAACCACTCACATTGAAGCACACGACTCCTTGCTGCGTAGCGTGGTTTGACAGGAGCAGTTTACTCTTAAAACCCACATATCACAGATTGTTTAAACTTTTTAAACAATTTACGGACTTTAGTTGCGCCATCTCGGTTTTCTTTGGCTGCCATGAGACGCACATGCGCAGGTTTGCTTTACAGCATAAACAGCAGAGGCAGTAGATTTTGAGAAGGCGGTGCAAACCGACGGTACACTGGCGATCCTGATTGGTCCATTATTTTTTCCCATCTTGAAGGAGTTTGCATTGTCCTCGATCTCAGACCCTTGTTGGGAGCTCAACGAAACTCCTCTGGTGGAGCATGGCGGAACTACAATGGTCTGGAGAGAGTCAGGCTCGTCAAAATCTACTCCAATTAAAATACGTCTTTTTATCTTATCATTTTTTGCAGTGTATAATGTTGACATTTGGGTCACAGCTTGTAAACACCCCTAAAAATAGTCAAAGAATAGTTATAATAAGAATATTTTCCAAATGGACAGTAAACTACCCCCCTCCTCCCCTCCTGGGTGCAGATCATCGAGGAGTGCTACAGTGTCTTCTCCTGGGTGGCAGTCCTGATCCAGGTCTTCATCTCCATCAGTGTGACCGTGTCCTTCCTGGTCATGGGCTCTGCTCTGAAGCACACTGGTCAGTCTCGGGAATCTTGATGTGTTTTTGTTACCCTACCACATGTTGGTTTCAATTTACCTAAATGTATTCTTGTGTAGCCCTAAACCCTGTATCTCACAGGATTTAACCAAACCTTTGACTTTGCCAACATAGACCAAGAGAATCAAAATGTTCCAACACTAGAAAAACAAATCTGCCATTGTCCGGTCAAACTTTGAAAATTCAGAAAACTGTAAAATCAGTTGATCTAAATGTGCAGTAGTATTGTGCGACTGGTTGTGTTGGTGTTACTGTATCTGTGTGGGTGTGTGTTTCAGTGGACGGGCTGGTGGCCTCGGCGTGGACTGGTTCCCTGGAATGTCTCTCCAAATGCTGGAAACAACATCTGCCAAATAAACGGCCGCTGTGCTCTGCTCTGAGGTCAGTCATTTTTCACACGCTGAACCAAGAACCTAACTTAAATATGTGTTTAACATCAGCTGATATTTACGAAATCTGGTCTCCTCTTCCTCACCTCGCTGACTCACTATTAGGAATTCAAAGATGAACTAGATAAATCTTCACGTTTTAAGCCATCAGACATCAGATGCTAAGCAGGACCGGGCTTGGTTAGTACTTTTATGGGAGACCTTTGGGAACACCTGGTGCCAAAGTACAGGGACAGTGCCAAACTGTTGTGTTGTGTCCTTAGGGCTTAGGCAAGACACTTCACTCACATTGTCCAGTATGAGTCTGAGGTGTATTTGGAATATGTTTAAATGACTGATGATGTGATTGCTGCAGCTTGGTGAAAGGACTTCTGTGCCTGCTGATCTTCATCATCATCTTCATCGTCGCCATGTGTGACCCCAAGGTAAAAGGATCTTAATCAAAGCATCCTACGTGAGGTTTTCATCTGTTCATGTACAACACTTTTTTGTGACATTCTTTGTATGAAATTATAGTTTTAAAAAGAGATCAAACATGGGGTGTGCGTGTGTTTGTGTGTGTGTGTGTGTATTTGTTGCAGGGCTTTGTGGTGATCCTGGACAAAGTGGTGTCATTCTCTCTGAACACAGAGGTGGGACTCTTTGTGTTCTTTATGCTGCGAGAGTCCAGAGAAGAGCAGTACAAGTGAGTGACTCTCATGTGGTTTTCACATGTTTGCACTTTTGGTCTGAGTCACATCTTTGGATCAGCTAAAAGAAAAAAAAAATTCATATATTTTAAGACAAAGACATGTCTACCGAAGGTTCAATGTGCATGAATACGTTTCACAAACACAGGAAGCGAGTTTACACCTGTATTACCATTGCACATGTTTTTAGTGGAAACTCAAACGGACATGGGGAGAACGTGCAAAGACATGTGCAGTAACAAATGTTACTGTTTGGGCATGACCTGTTGGGACAAACAAACTATTGCTCTAAAATGTATTCCAACTTCATGCTTTGAGTGTCCAATATGTTGCTATGAAACCAATTAATTAACCCATTAATCTATTATTGAAATAGTTATGAACAATTGTAGTAATTTATGAATCGCTTTTTTTTAACCCAACATAGACTTAAACATGCTGAGAAGAGTTTTTCTCACTCAGATTATTCTTTAATGACTTCATAATGAAATCAAACGAAGCAAATGTATTTAAAAAGTATAAAACAAATGTGTTGCAAGTTGTCTCTATGAAGTTGTTCTCCAGGGGCAGCACTTACAAAATACAAAATTCGGTAAAAACTGACCTTTTGGGATCTAAACGGGGCTAATTGACGAATCAAATGAATAATCAGAATATCTAAATAATAGTTCATTTCCGCCCTACACTTCTCCATAAAACATATCGGACACAGTTTAGTAGCAAAACAAAGTGTGTGGTTTAAAGCTGTGTCCCGCCTCCCTCTGCAGCAGCGTGAGCGTGCCTCTCCCGGTGGGCGACTGCGTCTTCAGCCTGTCGTGGCTCCTCCCCTGTTACTTCCTGTTCGCGGTGGTCTACGACGTTCTGCAGACGGTGGCGGACCTCTTACCGCTCCTGCCGCACTCGCACTGGGCCCTGAACCACAGCCTGGCCCTGTCCTGGAGCCCCTACAACTCCAGCGGCTTCCTCTGACCTGAGGACTAGGAATTAGCTTCTTTTATTTTCTTCCTACAGACGATACCACCAATCCATTCCCTGCTGTTGTAATATACACGCCAATATTTGCCAATACCAATGTTAGAATAGAACAAATACAAAATAATATATACATGTGATTAACTTCAATGAGAGATTGTGTATTAAGAAATATTACAAACACGGGAAGCCCACTTTACACCCGTTGTCCTATTGCATATGATATTTTTAGTGGAAAGACACGGGGAGAACATGCAAACTTCACTCAGAAAGGCCCCATGCCGCTGCGTCGCCACGTCCTTTTATTGAATAACGTGACCCTTTTCTTACTATAGCGACATTGGAAAAGAGTGAAATGTAATACCAATAGTAATGCAGATATTTACCAAATCTATTAGTCTCAATTTTTTGGTGGGATTTTCAAAACAGACTAGCAGTTTTTTTAAGCGAATCAAAACTTGTAACCTACTCACAAAAAACTAGTGTCCAGGGAAATGCCTTGGTAACCACAGCTTCCTGCCGCACTCTGGCCAATCACTGTCAGTCAGAACCCTTTAGTACCAACTCGGCCTGGTCAGACGCAGGGCCAAGCAAGACAGTACTACAAGAAATACCACAGTGGTATACAAAAGTCAATCGATTCGTACGATTTGACCATTAATTATTGGGATAAAAAATTCCAGTTAAATATATCATGTAGGAGACAAACACAGTGATATTTCAAAAATTGAAATAAAGTTTGTATCATTTACAGAAAGTGTGCAAGAATTATGTAAACCAAATTAGGTATGTGTGTAAATTTAGCACCACAAACTATTTAATAAATTAATATTTTTTTGGGTCCTCCTTTTGCGGAAATAACAGCCTCTAAACGCTCCCAAATTAATCTGGATTCCGATGGAAGGAATTTTGGTTCCCATCTTCTTTGACAATCATCTCTATTTCTGTCTGTCAACTTTGGCATACCACCGCACCTGGCACCGATTGAACGTTGCCGATGGAAACGCACCCAATCAGAGTAGAGTGGAATCAAACATGCAGTATTAAACTTGACTATTCCCCTTTCCTAAACTTGCGACTGTTGCTGATGTTTTGCTAACGGTGTGAAAATACTTGTGAGGAAGCTACAGCATTTAAGAAAAAAGGCACTCAAAACACAGCGGCTTCGATACATGTGGCAGGAGCCTCTTCTCTGTCTGGTCTAGCACAGTTTTTCCAATGTGTTTTTTACTGCAAACGGCAAATTCATTCTTGAACCTCAAAAAGACTGCTCCAACATGTTTAAAAAGTAGATTATCTGTAATACGACCCTGTACATATTTTTTTTTTTGCACTCCCTAAAGTGAACGGTAGCGCAGACTGGAGCCAGAACTATGTGAGAGGTGTGACGATTGGCCACGCTTTCTCCGTCCATGTGCCAAAAACTCCTCGCCAAGGCCTTGAACTCATGTTTTGTACTGAACATTTTTCACTTTTTCCTGCTGACTCCACTTGTGCATGTTTCTGCTTGAGTCACGTGGAGCATAGGCTATTTCAGGGATACAGGGATTTTTGTTTTTGGAGAAAGAAGAGAAGGAGGAGAAAGAGATTTTTTGTGTGTGCAGGAATCTTCAGGACTTTGCTTTTCTGCTCAAATCAGATCTGGCCATAACAGTGTTAGTGAAATTTCTGATTTTATAAGTGATTCTTTTCCTGTTTTTAACCACACAACTATTATTATTATTTATTTGCCAAAGACTTTACTCTGCTTTGCACTAGGACACAAGTGGGCAATTATTTTCTCTGTGGAGATGCATTAGGATATCAGTACATTGTGGAGGGCTGGACCTGTTTTAAAATAAAATCTATATACATATTAGATAACACTCACCTCTTTGAATATTTGTCTTTTGTTTTTGTGTAAACACATTCTCTTTATCATGGTTTTGATATTTACCGATGAGTAGTGATATAGGAGGGTGAGTATTGTTGACTGACTTACAGCTCAATATTATGACAACTTAATATTTTAGGTTTAATGTAAGTAATAAAGAAATGTATTGATATAAAATACATTGCTAATGAGACCACGGTATCTCATTTTACAAACCCTCATTGGAAATGGACTCCCATTCATTTAAATAGGTGGACAGTATGAGATAAGTTTGCTCAAGTCTGCACTGGAGTGAGACGCATTAATCGACCGTTTAAGATTGAATTATGCATTTATCTGATATTTATAGCTTTCAATTGTGGTGACTCTACTAACTGTATGTCTTAATACTGTTCCAAAATCCAGAGAAAAATGACAAACAAACATATTAAGATAATATCAAGCAAATATTAGCTAACCCATGACAAAGTAGTTTCTTCCCTATTGAGTCACCAGAATGGCCATAATACTGTGATTCGTATGGATATAGAGTAGACTCACTAAAAGCTTGCTGTGTGTAAAAGGCTTTGAACACTTGTTTACTCATGTTGCATAACACCAAAAGTGAAAAGTTCATTCTGCAAAAAAAGAAAAAGCCAAGGTGAAAGTCTGCCATGAACTTTATCGATGCATGTTAAACCTCAAAGTTTCTCCTGAACTCTTGAGAACAAAAAGAACAAGTTATAAAGTTGTCTTTCTGAAATATTGTGCTTTCTTTAAACGGAGGGGATTTTAAGAAGCACATTTCTTTGCTCTTTGAAACTAACCACAATTTTCTATAAGAACAGTGTTTGCACAATGTGAAAATCACCTGTGGTCTCATCTATGTAGTGCCAACTCACAGGGCTCCAATGCATTTTTCACATTCCATGTCACTCTTATTTGAAAGCTTGCCTGAATAGACTACAAGGCATACATTCTTTATTTAAAAACTCTTAAAAGGTAACACAAGTGTCCGCATTTTCCGAAGTGCTTTTTGGGCTAAAAACACCCAGACAGTAGGTAGTTATCTCATTGCATGTTAGCTTCAAACTCTTAAATATAAATGCGAAAAATTCACTTCCAGAACCTACGTGGACAGAGGTGAGCGGAACTTCACACTTTCATGAAAAGCAGTTGCAAGGACTGTTTTTCTCCTATGCAATGTATTTAAGAAGTCCTTTTGGGCTGATTTACACATTAAAGTTGGGGTACCTAATTTTTCACTTTCATAAATAGGACATTTTGTTTGTCCCGACTCTTTCCGTTGGTCTCATGGCAAATCAGACCACACTAATACCATCTTCACCTTATGCTATCTTTTACTTAGTTGTAAGAAAGAGCCCTGTGAGTCACTATTTGACATATTGGGCTGCAAGCTGATTGGTTGAGTGAGGATGGTCCTCTCGTTTTCACTTTTCTGTCTAAAAAAGGATGCGGCAGGAACCAAAAATACATGCATGTGAAAAGGAGTGATAGTTCCTGGTTCTCAAAATAGATCTCGAATTTGTAGTTTGAAAGTCAGGTACCCCAGCTTTAAAACAGTTTCAGCTAAATTCTTGTTATAAAATAAATTTTAAAACCAAGTGGGGTGATAGTGGCTCAGTTGGTAGAGCTTTGGTCTCTGAACCTAATGGTCCTGGGTTTGACCCCTCCACGACCAATGTCATCTGCTGTCGTTGTGTCCCTGGGCAAGACACTCAATCCCTCACTGAACAACAATGTTGTCTTGCTGGGGATGAAAATGACATGACAAATTCATAGTAAAATCACACATAGATAAAAGGCACGAGTCTTATCAAAATAGATTTTATTCTGACTTTAGTTGGACTGATCTGATTTGAATTGAAGCAGATCAAAAGGATGCAAATTCAACAAAAAAATTAAATAAAATCTGTCTGTAAAAATGTGTTTGATGCGGGCAAAATGGTTTCAGTTCTTACAGCACGTTTCAACTCCAGTAAATTATTGTCCTGTAATTGTATTGTCAGTTTTGATCAAGTTTGAAGTACAGACTCCCAAAATATAAAATCCTAGTTTGAATTGTGGTGTGTTTGAGGCTGAAACGTCCTGGAAAAACTCATCTCGAATAAACATTTTTGATCACAGAAATTCAAATTTGGTGGTCATTTTTTCAGGGAAATGGGGACTGGACAGCTCAGTTTTTGCAGATAAGATTAAATTGTTCCTGATAAATTGATAAATACTTTTCAATCCAAGCCAGAAAGCTTTGATTTTCAAATATTTCAAATCTTAAAACATTCTTTTCTTACAACATTGTGAGGTCCTACAAAAACACGTCGATTTGATGACAAAAATCATCCAAATCTCATGCTGTTGAAGCTAGCATTTGTCAATTCACAATTATATAGGACTAAATATTTAAACAATGTCAATCTGATGCAGACCATATTTCATTGAAAATTCATAGTAGTCTTGTGTTGTGATGTTTAGGCGATTCATTATTAAACAAACATGTGGCATTTCCAATAAATTCGTCTGAATAATTAATAATTACCATTTTCCCCTCATTAATAAACATACAAGACGAATTGCATGACGTCGTATGATCAGGTCTTCTGCACACTGTAAAAAAGTGTGGTAAAATCAGCAGCTAGTTACAGTTCAGATTACGAATATTCATATCTGTTCTTTTTATGGAGGATTTTTTTCTTTCAACATTTCTTATGGGACTTTCCTGGTTAAATGAAGGCCAATTAAATTAGTTCAAAACAATTTTCAAACCAACTATTTTTTATATATATTATCGATATATAGATAATCAGATTTGTATTTCTTGGACTTGCAATTACTGAGCTGCACAACCCCCCTCCTCCCCAACTGATAAACAGAAAAGAAAAAAAACAGCTTAAAAAGAAAACTAAAAAAAACAAGGGACATAAAGACAGGAGAAAAGGTTAAAAACATTTTTGAAAAAACTAAGATGAAAAAAAAAACGTAAGTGCCATCCTTAAGTGGAGATCTTGATATGTCGCACGATGAAAGTCCAACAAGTAACAAAGAAACACTATTTTTGTCCGTATCGGTTCTGATGACATAAGCGTGGTTTTTTTAAAGATCTAAAAAGCAAAAACGCTTCCAGATTTTGGTACATATATGGATGGTTTTTTTGTCTTTTTGTCCTTTGTCCTCTCCGGTCGTTCCGTGTGCATTTTTCGAGGGGCAGAGTTTTGCGCACAGAGAGAGAGACAGAGCGAGAGAAACCGAGAGAGAGCGAGACAGAGAGAGAGAGAGAGAGAGAGAGCGCCGGTCGCCCCACGTGTGTCCATGCGTCCATTGGGTCAGCCCTCTGTTTTTTTGGACCTGCGCCTTTTTGTGTCCCACTTCCTTGCTTTTCCCACGTCCTGCTTCCTGTGTGTGAGTGGGCGGAGCCAGAGTGAGTGGGCGGGGACAGTCTTTTGGCTATGTACACATTCACGGTCGGTCCATGGCTTCCAACGGGCGCGCCACTATTTCCGCAGGTCGAGTACGCAAACCTGCAGAGAGGGGAAGGGAAAAAAACAACGCTGGGTGAGTTTTGGGAGGACACGGGGACTTTAGGTCATGTGACAGACGAGAGAAGGCCTTTTTCACACTGTAGGAACCTTCTGGCCTTGTTTATTTATTTTTTATGCTTCTTTACCAGATAGAGCTGTGATGGCGCCTGCCCCCCAACTGAAATAGAATTCTAGAACAGGAATGCAACCCACAGGAACGAGGGAATAGGGCCAGACTTGGGGGACTGAGTATTTATTGCTGACTACATTAGAACAATTCATTTGTATAGGAACTTGGAACTGAGTCCATATAATTTCTCTTGTGGAGCATTTACCAATCACACAATGGTAAATGTTATGGTTGCATTGATACTGACCAGTTGTAAAAGTAAACAAATGAAATAACTAAACTTTATGGTACTTTTTAAAAAAAAAAAAAAAAAAAGGTAAAAGTTGCACTTACTGATCCGTCCGACGCGCTGGCTCCCACTTTGTCTCCCGCTGCGTTCCAACAAACCTCAAATATTCCCCCCGTCCCTCTGTAACTGTGGACTAGCGCCCCCGTCTGGAAAACAGAACACATACGAAAGGTAAGAAGGACAAAAGAGAAGGACCCAAGTTTGAAATGTTTGAAAAAGGGAGTGGAAGTCCATTGTTTTTGAATTATTGATCATCAGCCACAATTCTATTTTTGAATTGCTACCATGGCATGTTATACCTCACTTTAAATGTTACACGTTTTCTTTTTGTTTACACTGTGGACAGTACTCAGCCTTACCTTTGGTCCACTTTGAAAAATGTCCTAATCACTTACTAGCGTGTTATTATCTTTTCTTAGGTCGTTGGTAAACAGCGGCAATAAAATCTAGACAAGAAATTACCATTACCAGGTATTACCATTAGCCCTTACCCCATGTTTATTTGCGGCCTTAAAACAAAAGAAACATTTGGCCTCATGAAACTGTCAATCTCTACAACAGGCATGTCCAAACTCAGGCCTGCGGGCCAATTGCGGCCCTAAATCTCAGACGCTCTGGAATCCAGTGGTTGATTTTATTTTCACAACATTCCAAATAAAATACAGCTGTGGTGTGAATAACCCCTTTTCAATTCCAGAATCTAGTCAATCCAGCTCGAATCCAGTTTTTTAAGTCCAGATTGTGGGCCCCAGGTCAAGTCTGAGGTCAATTCTTGCTGAATAGTTTGGACACCCCTGCTCTACAAGTAAGTTTAGGCATAAAAGTCACAAAAACATACTATTGATGAAGATAAAGTGAACCTTGTGACTAGAGAGTTATGGTAGATACTTAAAGTCTGTAACTCTAAATGAATTACAAATTTTAGGAAATGTGTTAAATTGACCTCCTGGCCTTAAATGTTGATATAAAATAAGTCATTTTATTAATTCTAATATTACGGGTAAGTCCCGCCTTCCCTTCTCTTAGCCATAGTTCAGAATCCACGGTGCCGTCGAGGTTAACCAATCGAGTCATGCCAAGGGCTGTCAATCATCGCACTGATGCTCGCAGCTGCGCATGCGCAGTTGTTTGTTTTCGCGGAGCCTCCGAATCAAGCCTTTATAGGTTCTGGAACTACATGAAAACTGAACAAAGAATTCTGAACATCCGCGCTGAGGTACTTATGTATATACTGACCCTATATCCATAATCAGATCCTCTGCAGATGTGTCCTATAATGTGCAATTCATGATAATAGCTTGTTCCGGGTTTGCCGCGATCGCTTTTTTTGTGCATAAAAGCATTATTTTTTTCATTAAAACTTTAACAAATAATTCTGAATTATGCATGTGTATTAATAATGTATATGTATAATGTGTTCTCTGATTAACATTTAAAAGTGTTGCGGAAACGTAGGTGTAGACCAATCAGAAAGGAAGGGGGAGGGAGCTTGGGTCGTTTTTTTCAAATCAAGTACCTCTCTGTCTCTCTTTCTGACAAACTCCAGACAATCACTTTAAATCCTTCTACATATGATAATAATGTTTGAAATTAAATTGAAAATGAATAGTCAACTAATACCGGACGATAAATTAACTGAAAGACTCAAAACTGCTCCTCATTCCCACTGTACTTTAACTTGTGATGCAACACTGACATTTCCCCCTACGGAACAAAAAAACGGATCTCGTACTGCGTTTACATTCCTGCCAATGCAAAGCGCTCCCAGACCGACCAGCAGAAGCAGAAGCGTGATCTGGCGCCCGCGTGTGTGTGTCCGCAGAGGTGGTGTCTGCGTTGAGCTGGAGTCGTACCTGCGTGTTCCAGATGTGCACACACTTGTCGAAGGAGCCGCTGGCCAGGTGGCGCCCGTCGGGGCTGAAGGCCACGCTGTACACGGGCTCCTGGTGTTTGGTCAGAGTGTGGATGCAGATTCCCCGCTCCACGTCCCACAGCCGCACTGTCGAGTCGAACGACGCACTGTGCACAGAGAGAAGAGAACGGGCGTGTGACGCGGCTGCTGCTGCGAGAGTTCCACAGATTCACAGATGCTTTGCTCCTCTGGGTTTAGGAGACTACACTGCAAAAATATGAGGCAATAACTGCTTGAATCGAGGGTTTTTTAACTTATCTTTAAAACAAGTATAATTTTGCTTTTCTCGTTGGTAAAACTTATTTTAAGGCAGTCAGAATGTGCAGGTTAAGATACATTTAGCCAAATTTGAGCAATGTTTGACTTATTTTTTTGCATTGTAAATGTTCAGGCTCTTTAAAATACTGTAATCCAAAGTACTGTACTTTCTGGACTATAAAGGCATACCTGTATATAAGCCACACCAGCTCAACTTTAAAATAAAGTACATTTTGTCCTTTTTTCATGACACTGACAAAGATGATGTCAAACTTTGTGATGTTTTTTATTAATTTGGATTGGCTCAGGAATGAGAGAAATAGGCTCCAAACCAGGGGTGTAGGCGCTGGATTTCCAACCAAGCAAGAAGAGCTCACCAGACTCCACCAATTTACTCCAGTCTTAACCTGAAGACTTAAGGAAATGGCAGGAGTCGGATTTGTTGGAATCCTGCAGCCACACCAGCACTAAAGTCACCAGGACAGATTATCCAGTTGCCCTCCGCTATAATCTTGACCTATAGTCTCTTTGTAATGTTGCGACATCACATGAACACAACGCATGAACACAAAACAGGCCATTTAAAAATCAATGTCTTTATGGAGGTTGAATAATAATAAATAAAATAAATAAATAAATTAGGGATGTAAATCGGCGACCGGTTAACCGGTGGTTGACCGTCACAGCGTTAACCGGTCAAAGCTGTCGGTTAAAAAAGAGAAAAAGGGGAGAGGGGAGGTCTCTTAATAACGCTATTTTAAGCCCTATTTGCACGGTGTGACGAGCGGGTCTGTATCTAGCTGTGTGCGCCCATGTATTATAAACTCCGGGACGACTCTCACGCCGCACGAGCCACATATGCACACACGCACACGCACACACACACACACACACACACGCACACATTCCCCCTCTCCATACGTAACATCCACATGCATCATCTCTCCCCTCACCGTCAAAGTTGCACACTGGCGCGGGTCAGAACTACATTGGAGCTTACATTTACACACACATATATACATACACACACACACACATACATACACACACACATACATACACACACACATACATACACATACACATACCGGTCTGTCGCGCTCCTCTGTGTCACGGAGCCCAAAGGATCCGCGCAAATACGCGGCTCCTTTGGGAGTCGCGTATTTCCCCTACATGTTTTGCTGTAGGGGAAACATGTTTGTGTTTATGGTCCTCGGGATCAGCTCCACACACATCACTTGTATTTAAACTTTTGTGAAGACCTGTGAGACGCGGCTCGTCACTCGCTGCTCTGACCATGTGAACGAGCCGTCTTTGCTCCTAGAAAGTTTTGGTATTAACCCGCAGCACAGCAGAATGGGAAGATTAAAAAAGCAGTTCTCTGTGCGCAAAGGTGCCGGAGCTGTTGCGGGTTTGGGCGCCGCTGTCTCGGCTCTGATCCAGTAGAACGCAGAGCTGCACTTATGAAAAGTACGCGGCTCGAAATGGCTGTTATTTCAAAGAACGTGGACTATTTTAAACTACGCGGTTAACCGGTTTCAACCGGTTAATGAGGCTCGGTGGTCGGTCATGAAAATTCATAGTTTTTTACATCCCTAAAATAAATAATAGACTTTTATCCCAGACTTGAGAGAGGGAAGATTGAATGGCCACATGTTGATTGGTCTTCATAGAGTCAAAGCCGTGAATACCTTGCTAGCATGAGGTTCGCACTGGGGTTGTTAGTTCCGGGGCCGGTGGGGCTCCATTTGATGGTGTAGATTTCTTTGCTGTGGGCTTGGAGGTCATGCACACACGAGTCCTGCTTCATACTCCAGATCTGGAACGATCGCAACACTTCAGGTGTTAGTGGACAGCAAAAAAACCCCAAAAGTTCAAAATAATGCAGTTTCTTTTACCACTGACCTTTAGCGTCATGTCGTCTGAGCAGGAGGCCAGCAGGTTCCCCGTGGGGTCCCACTTGATTGCATTTACTTCATTCTATTCAAAAACAACCAGAGACATATTGTTACAGAGCATTAATCTGGCCCTGATTGTATTTATTTACATATATGTGGCGCGGGGTCGAAATAGCGCGTATATGTGAGTGTTCTAAATACGGCTTCAAGAGGCGTTCAAGTCTGTGCGTAACTTTCGCTACTCACTATGGACTATAAGCAATGAACTTACATCTTTATTTTGGGCTCCTTAAGATGTCTAATTTAAAAAATATATATCTGCACTAATTTGACAGTTTTAAACCATTATAAAGCAGTTACATTTAAGTTGCAATTGTTACAGGTTAACGCACAGCTAAAAATAATAAATTATAATATTAAAATAGTTTATAGCTCAAAACTGTTTTATTTAAGTTAAATTTAAAAGGTGAAAACCAAATATTCTTGCTTAAAAATGACTTAAGTTTGAAATACCTATAATAATAATAATCTAAAAATGTTAAAAGTGAATGAAAAATATTTAATGTTTACAGTTAAAAATACAATTCAATTTTTTTTAGTTCAAACAGTAACACATTTCTGCAGTTTGAAGTGTATATTACGACATGTTCCAGTAGTCATCATACACACTAGTTCAACCATATTAGGGTTAAAATTAGGGAGGCGATTTACGAAACGGTAAATGTTGATGGATCAGAAAGAGATTTGATGAAGTTGGTTCAACCGATATCCAGTGTGTGTCTACCCTGTGTGTGTCTATCGTGTGTGTGTCTATCGTGTGTGTATCTTTCGTGTGTGTGGACCAGGGGCACGAGACTCACGGTATGTCCCTGGAATGTCTTGATGGGCCGGTCCTGTCCCAGTTTGCACACGTGGATACACATGTCTGTGCTGCACGAGGCGAACGTGTTGTTGCTCTGCCAGTCCACGTCCAGCGCCGGAGCTGCGGAGGTCACGTCCACATGTTACACTCAAGACACACACCATCAGGGAAACTAGGCGATATGGGGACTCCTACCTGAATGGAAAGGAAACTGCTGCTTGGCTTCTCCTGTGTGGGCGTCCCATATGATTGTGGTCTGCGGCACACAAACACACACACGGTCAGTACAAACGCTTCATCAGGACTTGTGGTGTGAAAGCTTTTGTGATATTATCAGATGATTATCTTCAGTTGGGCTGGCATCCCTTAAAATGGTTTGTCGGTGCTGAATGGTACTTGACTTTTGAAACCGGTTCCTAAACGGCAGCTTTTTTGGGTTCTACTTTATAAATAGTAGTATCCATTTTGTGATTTAAGGCTTAAAATGTTCCTGAAATTCACAAATACTTTGAGAAAATAATTAGACCTTAGTCAATTTCCACAGACAAAGAAGATGTTGAACTTTGTGACAGTTTTGTTTCAGGCAGATTGAATCAGGACAGAAAGAAATGAGCTCTAAACTAAAACTTTGACTTCAAACTGTAATTATAGAACATATTTTCCAGCTGCCCTCCACCACAATGTTAAGAATATTGTTTACATTTAACAAGACTAGTTTATGAAGTTGAATTTAAAAACATTTTTGGACATTTTTATTTTAATTATGATTAATACTGGAATTTAAAGGTCGTAATGTTTCTGAAATACACACTTCCAAATGGCCAGCATTCACAATATTTGATTCAGTTCTAATCAACTGCATTGTAAAGTGCAAATGCAAAATATTGTGTGACTGTAGTACACTGTAGAACAGTAGCTAATAATTTTTGTCTGGACTATTAGCATGTAATGAGAGAGTAGATATAATTGTATTAACCAACAGGAGTAGTATAGCTGTAGTGGAACTGCACCACTTTAGCTTCAACTGTGTTAAATTGAGGAAAATATAAAGAACTCAAACACAGCACACACATCCAAGTCATCTCTTACTTTATCTACTCCAGCGCTCAGGATGAAGTTGCCTTTTTTATTCCACTTTAGGGCAAAGATGGGTCCTTTGTGTTGGCCCAGTGTGCTGGCCAGGTTACCTGCAACACACAACACATATTTAAAAAAAACAAATAATACTTGAAAATGCAGACACAGTGCAATGCGCTAATCAGCCACTAGAGGGCAGTGTTGTACCAAGAGTTGTCTGTGTAAACTTTGCTCCAAGCCCAAGAGAAAATAAATATGACCTACTTCTGTTTTACAAAACGTCTACATTCAAACACTGTAGTTTAGGGACTATGTGTCAAAGGCTAATCAAGTGCTATTGTGTTAGCCCATTATATTAGATGATCTAAATGAACCCTTGAAACAGTCAAAAGGTGCAGCCCTGAACGTTTATAGGAGATGGAGCATGACTAAAATCAATACCAGATATAGATCAAATAAAAAGATTGTTTTAAATGCAGGGAACCGATTGCAGGAATCCAGGACTCTGTATAGAGAGTGTCCTGGATTCAGGAGCTCAATTGCAACATGTAACTGACAGTGATGACATGATGATGTGATAATTTGAAGAATGTGTGAAAAAATGGAGGAGACAGCTTACAAAGAAGAGACACAAGAAGTTACACAAGATACAAATGGAATACGGCCTTTAAGTAATGTGAACTTAAACAACTGTTTTCCTCCTGCTCACCATCTTTGGTCCATATTCTGGCGAAGCCGTCATATGATCCTGTTGCTAATAGCGTTCCTTCACTCTGTCAACAAACAAAACACAATATCTCTTATTGTTTTGAAGTCAGGGGCCCGTGTTCTCCAGCCACTGTTACTGGATGTATATACAGTGTGTACGTTTACAAATGCTTAGTGCAATCACTGCTGCACATTCTCTTTGGGTCCTATGTTCTGTTCCGGGAGAAGACAGAGAGAACAGTGTGAGTGTGTGGGCAGGAGAGCGTGGGGTGTCTCTGTGTTGCACATGTCAGTGCTGTAGAATTATTTGTACGTTATGTTCACCACGCAAGAGTGGGATCTACAGATGTGTGCGGGCCACCGATCATGCATTTGTAGTGTTATAGGATTCAATAAGAAGTGGACAGTGTCAACAGTTGGATATCTTTGTTGTTTAAGATACTGAAATACAATGTCTCTTTCAAAACCAGGTGATGATCCAGGACACTCAACATTCAACAACATTTATGGACATTGGTCATCTGTCCCTTTTGGACCAATACCAACACAATTTCTGTTTGTCTTCTTGAGTTCGAAATGTTTAATTCTCTGATCTGGGCTGGCGAATTCAACGGTTGTGTAAAGTCTTCCGAGATGACAGACTGTCATCGGCCACTCGGCTGACAGACAACATATTGAATTGAGTAACCAAAAGCAACAGAAGTGACAAAACGTCTTGGAAAATAAAGCAAGCAGGTATAATTGATTCAGTTTGTTTGTTTAAATAGCATATGAATTGTGTGCAAATGTTATAGGCAAGTTGGATTTCCATAATATGCTCAAAATATAAAGTTATAAAACATTTTTGCTCGAGCAACAGGTGGTGTGAAGACTGGCTCTGTCCTCTGCTATATCTGAAATCCTGAAATTAATTCCTATAGCACATATTGTTTACACAATATTTTACTTACAACTACTATTGTGAAAACTGGAAGATGCCATGTGGTGTTAAGTCACATTCAAGAGCTGTGTGGAAGTTTCTGATGAATTGCAAGAAAAGGCATTATTGTAGATGTGAGTGTATGCGTGTGCGTACATTCCAGTCCAGGGAGGTGACGTCCTTGTTACTGGGCACGTCCTGCCCCCCCTCCCTGATGCAGTGTCGGAGCACCAGCTGAGTGGAGCTGCTAGTGCTGTTCTCAGTCAGATTCCAGATCCGAGCTGTTGAGTCCCCAGACCTGCAACATCACATTCCCATTACTGCTGGCCTCCTAGTTGCTATTATAGTATTATCGTGTTATAATATTAATAATATTAATAATATTAATACATTGGTTTTCTATGGCCTTTTTTGGACACTCAAAGACGCTTCACATGTCATTCACTCCAAACACGATGGGGATAAACTACAGCTGCCCTGGGGTACACTGACGGAAGCGAGGAAACCCGTATGTGCCATCTGTCCCTCCCACACCACCAACCATTCACGTACACACCAGACCCACTCTAGGTTATGTGGGTGAAGTGTCTTGCCTAAGGACATAACAACAGTCTGGCCCTTTGCAGCCGCAGCCGCCCCACTGTGGCACCTGGTGTTGCTAGAGGTTTGATGGGATCTGTCATTCACATGCAGGTAAAGAGGCTGCTTTACAAATACACTGGACTTAATGTATTTCAATTTGTGAAAACGGTTGGCCCACATTGCTGCAACAATAATGCTAAGATTTTGGGGAAATACCTTATTAACCTTAAATTTAGTGTAAACACTTTAGCATTTAGAAAGAAGATCCATTGGCAAATTATGTTATTTGTCAGCTTTCGTCATGACCTTAGACAAGAGTTTTGTTTATTCATTTAATGAACATTGTAACTGTAACTGTAATAGAATAATTGCATCCATATATGGGGATATGTGTATATTTAAAATTGCCATTAGTTGGCTTCAGGGTTTCATGGTGTGGGGCACGTACCCTGATGCCAGCAGGTCGCTGACAGGGTTCCAGGCGCAGATGAAGACCTCGGACTCGTGGCCTCTGAGGACCATGGCCTTGTTCTGAGGGATCTCCACATCTCCATCGACCTCCATCAAGTCGGAGTGGTTATCTGCAAGAGAAGAGATTCATCAAAAACGACAAACGAACCTCTCCAGGTGACCAAGTATCATCAATGGTCTTTCAGCAAATACCTGAATACATGTATAGAAAATAACCATTATTATTGTCTGATGCAATGCACTGTCCATGATGGGATTTGAGTAAGAACACGTCTGTAATAAAGGTTGTATACAAAGGTGGTATAGTTGGGTGATTAAGACACTCATCTCGCAGAGGGGGAATAATTTGTATATGGCTTCTTGCTTGACTAACTATTGAGAGTCAGTTAGAAATGTCTATTTACATTAGAATGCAACATGTTGAAGCCATCTCTAAAGCAATATACTTTTTGATGAGGTGACGATATTGTGACATAAAAACATGTGGTTTACACTTACTGGCTAAGGCGTGCGCTCCGTTCTCTTCCCCGTTGGCAGTATTCTCCCCGTTCTTGGCACTGCCGCTGATGCTGCCCCCAGTGGTGGTGGTGGGTGCTGCGGCTGCAGCCTGCTGCTGGGCCAGTTTGTCCCTGTAGGCCTGCTGCCGCGTCTGCACCACGTCTGGCATCACAGCGTCGATCAGGGACAGAGACTCAATGGGCCGTCCGTCGAATAACGTGCCGTCCTACGCAGTGAAACACAGTATTATTGTTTGTGTCATGACAATGTTAAGGGCTCCTAAATTACAAACCAGAACCAGTAAAAATTGTGTGTGTATATATATATATTAGGGCTGGGCGATAAAACGATAACGATATATATTGCGATAGACACGCGTTCGATAGCAATAGAAAACTGGGTCGATAGAATGTTCGATAGTTTTGCGTGTTTACTTTTTGTTGAAGTAAAGCAGAGTCAGAAGCGCGCTGCATTCTGGGGGATGTAGGCAGAAGCTTCTCGACCTATCACAGCCAAGCACGAACCGCAAAACTTTCTGGGAAATACGAAAACAACAACAACCGCACCATGTGTAGCGTCCATGGATCTATAGCTCGTGTTTCAATGCCGTGTCAATGGTTATGCACGTACGTGCGCGGAATAACATGTGCGGCGGCAGAGGCAGTGGACAGACCCGATGTATTCGGCGAAAGCAAGAGATTAACTTTTTCCTCGGGAAGCATGTGCGGCATACAGAGAGCCGCACGGAGCGGTCACAGGGACACAAGACCCTCGAAAACAGCTAAACCAGGAGCTAAACCAGGACTAACAACGGGGGACACAGTGTGAACATATTCCTCCAGCCTCATTCCACCGTGACTGTAAACAAGGCTGCTAAGGTTTGTTAGCCCACACGACAAATGTATTTATTCAGGTTTTTAAAAAAAACAATCAATATATATCGTTATCGAGCGATATGAATGACTTATATTGTGATATAGTTTCAGCCATATCGCCCAGCCCTAATATATATATATATATATATATATATATATATGGGTGTGACAATATATCAATTTTTCGATATATCGCGATACTTTCTCCCGCAATTCGATTATCAATATCAATTTTGAAAAAAAAAATAAAACATTTTTTTTTTTACAATTTTTTTTTTTGAATTGGTATCAATACTTAATATATGGCTACATTAAGCATCTCCATTCTATTTATCATGAAATAGAGTATTTTTACTTGTATTTTTGCCATAAATTGGCATATTGTATATTTCTGACCAATATATCAATAATTGTCATATCGTGATAAAATTGTTATCGTGATATCGTTATCGTGATATTATCGTTATCGTGATATTATCGTTATCGTGATATCGTTATCGTGATATTATCGTTATCGTGATATTATCGTTATCGTGATATTATCGTTATTGTGAGCTTTGTATCGTGTATTGCAGCCATTCCCAAACTCAGTAACACCGAGGCCCCCTTAAAAATCTGACGGGTCTGCGTGGCCCCCCAAAATAATAACCAAGAAGACAACATTAAGAATAGGCTCTTCTGGTTATTTTATTTTGGGGAAATAGCCTCTGCTACAAACATTGTAATACAAAAATGATTACAGTGAATTATTCAAGTCAAATAATGAACACAAATATTTTAATATTACAAACAAAACATTATAAATTTAACATTAAATAATTATATTATTTTTTTATTTTTTTTATGACCTCCCGCGGCCCCCCTGCAGTACCCTCGCGGCCCACCAGGGGGCCGCGGACCCCACTTTGGGAGACACTGGTGTATCGTATAGTATCGTGAGGTACTCTTAGGTTCCCACCCCTATATATATATATATATATATATATATATATAATTATTGTATACTTTTTTTTCCGAATCTTTATCAAGTGTCAAAACTTTCTAAATACATTTCGAAGCGTGTTTATTTAAATCTGAGGAAGGCTCCTACGACACATAATGGAGCTATGTAATAAAATCCATCCAACAAGTTCCTCTTTGACAGAGGTCAGGAGCCTCTTTAACTGAGAGAGACAAAAACATGTCTCATACTTTTCTTACATTTCTTTACTGTGCATAAGTGTAATCTTTTAAAACAAAGTCAACACATTTATAGTGCAATATTAGTCTCAGAATAAATTCCAAACGAAATCCAAAACATGAAACATTCTTACTATTAAAGTTTGTTTCAAATCACATGCTCTTTTAAAAACAGACGACAACTCTCACTCAGCCAATCAACTCTCAAAGCGTTCAACAGTCTACACAGGGCTCTACTAATAAAACTAAAATAAAATGATTTTTGAATTTGATAAAGACAGGACTTTTTGGTTGGATTTGTTCCCCTGACTGCAACCTTTTAGATTTTTTTTCAGTCAGGAAAAAATATTAGATTTTTGAAACAAAAATGTTGGATAAACCCATTTTTAAGTCATTGTTTGTCAATTAAAATTGTACGGAATTGCCACGATTTCAAGACACAGGCATTTTAAACAGAACACTTTTAAACCTAAACAAAACATTTCTTTAAAAAAAACAATAAATTGTGGTGACCTCGTTGATGCTGACTTCTGCCTCCACATACTGCAGCCCCTTCTGTATGATGCTGATGAGGGCAGCAGGGGGCACCAGAGCGCCGTTGATGTTGGATTGACTGATGTGGGACTCGATGCCGAAGGTAAAGGCTGAGTGGGAGAACCCTGAGAACAAGCAGAGCCGAAAAACTTCACTTAACCAAAACAATGTGACCAGCTCGGCCAAAACAATGCAACCAAACCAGACCGAGTTGAACTAAAAGAGGCGCACAAAAGCCCTGTTGCATCGTTGGAAGCGACAACATGGTCTCATATTTAGTCTCCAGCTACGCTATCAAATATTTCTTCAAAAGATTGTTCAAGTGACACGTTTGAGTAAAGGTCATTCTATTCTCCACTTTGGGACAGAAAAAAAAACTTTGCATGATGTGAACATATACTTTTTCTATCCAAGGTGTTGTTTTTCTCATTGCATGTCTTTTCTTCAAACAATCTTGATCTATTATTATTATGTGTTTATTTGATAGGGACGGAACAAGAAGCATTGTTACATGATCCATCCATCCATCCATTTTCTACCCTTTAATCCATTTCTGGGTTAGGGGGGTTGCAGTCAGAGATGCCACCCAAGTCTCATAGCACCAGCCCCTCACTGACCCTCTGCAGGTGGTGAGTCCACAGGAGGACGGTTGCTCTTTGAGTGTATCTTTCAGTGGGGGCTTTGAGCAAAGTGGGGTTAAGTGTCTTGCCCAAGGACACAACGACAGCAGTCATCAGTGGGAGTTGATGGAGAAGGTGCAGAGGTGGGAATTGAACCCACGACCTTCTGGCCTTAAGACCAATGCTCTACCAACTGAGCTACTGTCGCCCTATTGTTACATGAACCGATGCTAATTCATAGGCCTTCTAGCTCACAGCTAGTTTGCAGACCTGGTCCCTAACTGGTCCCATTCTAACCTACATGGAGAATTTTTATATTTATTTGTTTAATTCTATATTCTTGTCTGCTGTGATTACTTTTCAAACATAAGTATTGCCTCTAAATTAGAGGTCTCGAGCGGGAAATTATCATACTTCTCAAGTGTTTGAACACGGCCGTTTCTTTTAAACACGTTTGAAAGTAAATGTAAAATTTAAAAAAGTACATTAATAGAACGCGGTTGAAGCAGGTTTTCATGCTGTAAGGTACGTACAATTACGTAAGGTACGTACAATTTTTGCCCTTGAAGATGAAACATAACCAAAATCTGAGATCTGAGGAGACAAACATGTATACTTGTTTCAGTATAAATTTGCTATTAAAGATTACACATTCTAAAACATGAAATGACAAAGTATAAAGGGTTTTATAATTGTTAATAACCATAATTCTTAACAATAAAGACGCATTGATGCGCATATCAATGTAACAGATTATGTTGGAGCACTGTCCATACAAGCCTAATCATACTGGTCCTGGAGCTCCGTCCATCAGTTTTATTTTACAGTTAAAATTACAAAAAGAATCACATTTGTTTTAATTTTCTGACTACTCTTTGAGGTTGTTTTTGTAGTATTCTTTTTAGCTGGTTATTTATTCTATAATATAAAAAAGAAAATTTGAGATAAATCGTACTGTATAACAAGAAAATAGAAAAAGTATATGAGGGTATTTTTTTTCCTCCATATCGTCCATGTATAATAACATTAGAAATAAAATTCCATTTAAAGGGTATGCATGAATTATCCTTAAATATTGCCATTGCTCTCCAAAAGTGTGTGTGCGCCATGACAGTCGTATATTATGGACACAACAGTTACATTGGACAGACCAGATGCACTGCCTTTAGTGTTATAGCAAGACCAGGCTAATATTCAACACTTGTACGTGTAGGAGGCTTTTAGGACACAAATGCAAACATAAAATTTACAAATGTTGTAATTCAATGTACGGTTCATTAACCATGTGAACAATGTGCTTCAAAACCCGTTTAACTTTTTACATCCGACCCCTTGCTCCACTGCCCATGACGGTCCGCCGATTGATTTGACTCTAAACATATTTTAATTTCCTTTCTCCTCTGTCCCCAGCTCAAACAGCAGTGAAAAGCAGTAGTGTCATGACATACCTGACTCCTGTAAGTATCTGTAGACCAGGAAGTTGACCTCATCGCTGCTAATGCTCATCTTTACTCCTGTTACACCATGAGGTCAGCAGCACACTCCGCACCTGACAAAAACACAATAACAACACATTAATGTGGATCGTAAAGGCTCAAACATAAACATCATGCATGAGATGTTGAAAAAATACAGTATTTAATACCATGGATTGAATCAGAGAATTGCATGAGAAATATAGAATTATAGCACCAGCACTTGCAGCGGAACAAACCCCAAATCTCCAGAGGCAGAGATTTCACCTATGTTTGCGTATAAAGTTCCTGCTCAAGTTACTCAGCCAGAAACATTTTTTTTTTTCAAACTCTAGCTCCATAACATTAATATAAGCGGCAGGTAAAGCTACCAGACAGTTAAATAATATATTTGATCGGTCTGCCATATGAGTAACATCCCCCCATCATTGTCCCATTTCCAAAACCATCCTCCGATGTTCTCCCTCCTAATCCTCTGTTCCAGAAAGAAAAAAAACTACAAACATTTGCTCTTTGAATCTATACTTTTTATTATTATTATTATTTGGCAGATACTAATGTAGTGCAGTCTTTGCAGTGTTCCTGCAGTGTTTTTCTTAACAGCCATCTTTGTTTCACAGCCCGTACTCGTGGTGAGTCATTTCAAAAGTGAGTTTGTTTGGGACGGCGGACAGGCAGAAATGGACCTTTTATTTGCAGCAGCAGTGACACGTGTGGAGAGAAGAAAGTCAACGTCCTCTAGTGTGTAGATCATGACCTCAGTCCAGGAATGACAATTCCCGGCACGTACACTTTTGTAAGCATTAGGTCAAAAAGGTTTACAACCATTTTGTTTGAAACACCTTTTTTCCCCAAATGTGTTTAATTAAAATCTGTCCACTCAAGTGACCTGACTGCAAGCCATTTTTGATGACTTCACTGATTTTCAAGACTCACAGAATATTGTGTGCTATGACTATGAAAAATATGAAACCAGAAAGACTGGAATGACTACTTTAAGCAGCAAAAATAAGTTTGTTTTTAGCTTGTTTCGTTCTCCAGTGATCTCCAGTCGAAAAGAGGGGAGTGTGACAAAAAGCAGTCTTAGACAAAAAGCTGAGAAAATGAGGCGTTTGTGAAAACAGACAAATCTGCAGAAAAGTGACTGTAACACCATTTAGTTTAACTTTAGCATCTCCTCAAACATGTCCAGGATCTTACATGTTAGAAAACAGCAACAACAAGTTATGAGAAAGTGTTTTTGATGAAAAATAATACGTTTTATGGCACACTCAACAATAACAATAGCCCAACTTTCCAGCTCCTGCAGTCCTGGCCAAGCCATTAACAACATCTGGAGATGGTCCTCAGGGCTTCAAGACGACAGCCACTGCTGCCGACAGGTTGCCCAAATGCAGAGGGGAAAATGCCCCACAACTAACTGTATTCAATAGAAAAGACCTCTGACAAATGCAATGGATTCAATTAATAATGTATTTTTGCCCTTGAAGATTAAACAGAATGCAAACTGTATGGGGATTCTGTGTGTATTCCATGTATGTGCATATCTTTTATAGGGGTGGGAACCTAAGGGTACCTCACGATACGATACACAGCTCACAATAACAATAATATCACGATAACGATTTTATCACGATATGACGATTATCGATATATTGGTCAGAAATATACCTTATGCTAATTTATGGCATAAATAAAAGAAAAAAATTAAGTGAAAAAATACACTTTATTTCATGATAAATGGAATGGAGATGCGTAATGTAGCCATATATTAAGTATTGATACTTTTTTTTTTAAATAGAAAAAAAAATTCTATTTAAAAAAAAAAAAGTTGTAAAAAATAGTTCAAAATCTATATCGATACTTGGCAAATGCATATCAATAATCGAATCGCGGGAGAAATATATCGTCACACCACTAATCTTTTATTATTATGATTATAATAAATATTCTGTCACCTCTTCTCTGGTAGCATGTTTTCCCAATGCGTCCAGTGGCCAAGTGTTACTGTAAACTGTGGTTGTACAACCATAAAGTGATGCAAAGGGACGTCAAAACCAGCAAATGTAGATTTGAATAGCCCTAGTAAAGCATGTTTTGAAGTCTATGGGCAAAATCCACAGACACAAATTCAGTTGACACTCGTCGATGAATTGCAATAATTCAAAGGAGTTATTTCAGCCCTGCGTCTAAAAATGTCTTCTTATAATTTTGGAATAAATTGCACAATTGTACAGAGACAACTGTTGATGATTAGCTGCAGCTCAGATAAACGATGATGGGATCACTGGCGTCACTAATGAGGTAATATGAAATCAATGAGTGCGAGTAAGTTACATCTGCCTTTGGACATGAGCTCTATGCATAATGTATTAACCCCTCAGGCGCCATACGACAGGTTTGTCGACCTTATCAATAAGAGGCAGCGTGTGATTTACTGTCAACATTCATTCCCCTCTGCATCCATCATCAAAAGATTAATAATGAGACCGTCTCGCGGGAAACAACAGCTGCTTTTGGTGGACAATTTATGTAATCGCACCATTGTTAGAGCTTTAACAATACTCATAACATGCAGGGAAAGCCTACATTTCAACACTGGATCTACAGTTCTCTTGTCACATTTTTGTTTAAATGACTGAATGAATGAAGGAACTCCAGTTCCTCTGGTTATTTTCCAATTTAAATAGCACATATATCAAAATCATCAAAGAACCAGAATGAAGCATGTTAATGAAATGGCCACATCATATTGTTAGCAATCTCTTTTTGAAGTACGACAGTCAGTAAATACTTTTTGTAGGCGGCACGAGTAAATGATAGTAAAAGGAATTTTTTCGTATAAAAAAAAACAGGTTCAAAAATTCATCCAGTTAACTACAACTATCATAGACACACAGACATCAGAACATCTTAAAAACCAGCCTCTAAGTTAGTCAGCTCCACATGCATTTCAAAATAAATATTTGGATGCCAAAACAATTTTTTTTAAAGGAACCTAAAGGCAAATAATTATGATTCCAAACATTAGAGACTGTGATCATATTATGTGGTCAAAATCAAATGTGAAATTATGACTTTATATTATTCAACCGAGACTAAGTAATGAATGTGTGGGAATAATGCTCCATCCACAGTGGGGACAAAGTGGCACTCCCAGTGGGTGAACAAACCAAAGTGGGTCATGGTGATTGTGTTACATAATACAGAGCTGTGATATTCATCATTAGAACGATAAGGAAGGGGCACAGCTACATACAAACATCTAGGACAGAACAGTATATTAAAAAATACTGTTATTGTAATAATAGCAAGTTGGTTAATAGCTAACCAATGATGAGTTACGTTGAAAATCTTTCGTTCCCGCAAATATGCTTGTTTATATTTATCCCAATCAGACGCAAAATTCAATGCACTCTCCTGAAACCTTCAATGCAAAGAAAGTTCATTCAATAAAAAATAAACAATATACATAGTTATTGCCATTGATCATTATCACCATTGCACTTTTTCCAATATTGTGCAGCTCTACAAACATCACATATTAACTTTTGTCAAACTCAGCCAATTACAGTTACTTGTGCAAATTAATTCGGACGATCCCAGCTTTAAATGTGTTCGTATCATCCGTTTATGTACAAATACTTTTCATCAAGGACTCATGATGAATTGAACTGGATCCAAAACACATGCAGGGGCTGTGTAAATATACCAGGCCAAAGGACACTGTGCAAGTACAAAAGCAGCAAAATAGCAATCCAACTCGTTTTGCTGAGAGCAGGGGTCACCCATCTGGTGCGCCATGTGCACTTGGGGGCCCTTTGGCGGGTCCCGCCTCAAAATGTCCATGAGCATGTGCTTGCAATCTTACTCCGGGCCGGTGGGGGTGGACCCGGAATAAGAATTACTCAATGCTTTTGTATGGCGTCTTCTTTCCTCTCGAAAAAGGATTTACAGGATGGTCCAAAAGTCGGCTCTTGGCTCAACGCTATGTTCCAGATGTGTGTCAATGCTGAGGAGACTATTTTCTTTTGGACCAGTATAGTTTAGCTGCTGCGGACTTCAGAAGGCACCTGTTAAATGAATGGGGCTAGTGCCGACTGACACATGAGCAAATTCGTTTTTTCACGTTTTCCTGCCCCCGCGGTAATTATGAAAAAGCCCATAGACGCTTTTTCAATGGCCGAGATAGGCATGAATATTTCCGTTTATATTTACAGTCTATGGTGCCCTCTCGTGTACACAAAGACCAAAAATGCAACAACCTATATTTAAGAGATCATCAGGCATCAGACAAGTTATGCTTAAATAGTTGCAGAAATCACAGAGAAAATTGTCAAAAGTCACCAGTAGGTCGTGATAATACCGGTATTTTTGAGTGACTGTATGAAACTACCACGACACACACAATAGTATTTGTGTGTGTGCCTACTTGCTGATGTTTACCTTTGGTCAGAGTGTGGTGAGACAGCGGCTGCGATCACAGCTGAGGCAGAAGCACTCAATAACAAGCTTCTAAAGTCCTTTCTTTGTGCTTCTGGCTAGAGGTGTCACGGGAACCGGTGTAGGCTCTTACTGCACACTAGTCCGGGGCACATACACAATACACTTTTAATTCTAATCAGAACATGCTTGATTATCACGATTGGTTTGGTTAATTACAACAATTCTTAAATATTTTTTGCAAGTTTATTTAAACGATAATTTGGGACTGCAGATGTACCACTGGACGTTATGGCTGCACTCTGTACATTCTTTCTACGATTTTTTGTTTTTCCTTTTTAGATAGAGGTGCGTCCAACTTATTTACCAAGTTTATTCATTTCAGCTTCCTGCTTATGCAAACTTTTGAGGAACATCTTTCTCATCCAAAAGATACCATAGTAATTCGAAACTAAATGTCTTCCGGTTTCATCATTCTGAAACCTGTAGCCAGTTTATTTAAAAAAGTGGTAGCAATTGGAATATTTTAAGCTTTTACAGAACTTCCATTCTCACTGACTACTTGTATTGGACGCCCATTCTTGTGCCGTTATCTACACGGCCTCGTTAATAAAATGTGTATTGCGATTGATATTTTGGAGGCATGATTGATTATGATTATAACATAGTTGCATTGAATAAAGCTTGAAAAAAGGCCAAAAAACCATAATAAATCAAATTAAATTATTAGTTAATGGTTCCATAAGTTCATGTATTATGCTACAAACTTCTACCATTTCAAAACTGGTTATCAGATTACAGGAACATATGTGCAATTATTTATAGATGCCCATTTGTAAAACAAGTCCATGAATAACATTTCAAACAGGAGTGCGTAGTCAGTGTTGTCAGGGTGGCTGCCCCTCCCCCACAGCGCTGCAGTAGTAAATTCCTCTCTTGGGCGTTCAAGGTCAAAGAGTTCATTTCCTGAATACAAGACGAGCGCCTTGTGTCGGGTTTTTACCGTGTTTACAACTGTAATCTGCACACTATAGATACATGACGATGTCCTGTTGTCGTTCACCAGTTTTAAGTCCTGTCAAGCCAGGGTAGGAAAACAAAGATAATTTTAACAGCTCACCTTTCAGTCATTTTTCTGGTTTAGTCAGACATTTTTATTATTTTACATGAGTAATTTGTTATGCCAAGTGTATTGACAGTAATAAACATGAAAACCTTAAGTTGTTGATTTATGAGTAACTAACCAAACAATTTAATTTAATTTAATTTAATACAGGCCTTAAACATTCTTTTATATCGTTATATTATCATGACAAACCTCCGACAGCAGACCAGGAGCAGCTGCCTGATCGAATTGGGTCACCAGGTTGACTCCTGCGACACTTTTTTTTTCTCTGACTTTTGGCGGAAGGCAAAATCTTAAGTCAAGTCACTTCAAAAAGGAGCACATTTTTAAAGTCTAATGCATTATATGGCTGCCCTGGGAAATTAAAAAAGGGTACCATGAACAGTAATTATTCTTGTGGGGTTTATGCTCAAAAGTAAAATGATGTGAACGAATCAGACCACAACAAGCGGCCCTTATTGTATTGCATACCATTAAGAATGAGCCCTGTGGGTCACTATTTGACTAGTTGGGCCGATCTTAAGACGTAAAGGGGGCGTGAAATGTAGTCTTCTTCCTAAGGGGGAACTGGCCTTAAATAAATGTGAAGCACTGGTTTACACAATCAACTACTTTTCAGTTTGCAGCCTCAAATCACACGCATGCTTGCATATCCCAATAAATCCGTAAAACGTTTAGTTGTCACAGTGTATAATTTGCCTCGCTTTCATTTCATATTGAGCCATTATCTCACTGCCACTGTGGCCTTTGTGTAGGATTAGAGCTGTAGTAAACAATTATTTTGATAATCTATTAGTTTAGCTGATTATTCTTTTGAATACTCTGTTGTTTAGATCCTGAAAGGTCAGTGAATAAGGGTCTTTTTATACGTTTATTTTACGACCAAAACAATGATGCCCCTGGAAAACATCCTTATAGAGATTACACATTGGGCTGTTTAATAAAAAATACTTTGTTAAATACATTTCCATTTTATTATATTATTATAATTATATTATATAAGTATCGGAGTCATAAAACCTCTTTTTGAAATTGCTGTGTCAAACTGTCCTCGCACTCAGGACTGGTTTAAACGATGATTGGTTACATTTACAGAGCACTAAACGCTTGTGAACCTCTCTGCGCTTGAGCTACATATGGTGACTTTTATATAGAAAGACCCTAATAAATGCCATGTGAAAAGCAGCGCAGGAACATGAGTGTTCCGTATCCTGCTGAATTTACTAATGTGTGTAGTTAAACCCAATTAACTGAAAATTAGAAGCAAAAAACTGCATTTTAAACGATTTTCAGACTGTTTCAACTAGAAATTTAAATTGGTTAAGGCCGTTTTTTTTAATGGAAATTAAAATTGAAAGTTTATTTTTTTTAAGTTAGAGTTAATTATATCGGACTCAGAACAAATATTGTTAGGAATTACACAAACACAGGCATATGCCACACACAAGAAAACTATTTTTAGCCTTTTCTAGACACAGCAAAAACGAAGCAGTTGTGGAATAGAAAAGCCTCTCACCTCAGTCGTGGGTTTGTGGTCAACTCCGCTATGTCCAGTCCGATGCCAGGAACACCAACATGAGACCTGCAAAACACCACACAACTGCTTTATGGGACATAATGGAAAGGCATCACTTGTCCCATGTTCAGGTCGTAAAAATAAATTCTATTTAGGTTTTCAGTCCCACAACATTCTGGAGCGTTGTAGAAAGATGAAACTTTGAACTCGAGCAGAGAAAAAAATGGAAAGGATACAATAGATTGCACTTTCAGTTTTGTTCGATCACGCCTAATGACACATAACCGCCAATAAATAAATGCTAATCATGTGACAATCTGTCACATAGGTTTTTACAAACGAATTAGGCCAAGTGGCCCGGATCGTCAGCACAGGGGTGTGAAGACGGCCCATGGTTTAGTGCCCATGCCCTACTTTAATGCTCACTGCGAGTTCAGTGGATTTTGGGCATAAAAAGTCTTGTTGTGGTCAGAGTCTGGAGGATGAGGAGGAGTGTATGTTGTGGTCAGTGTGGAGGAGGAGGAGTGTATGTTGTGGTCAGAGAGTGTGGAGGCGATGGCAAAAACGTTATTTGATGGAAAGGAGCACTTCAACAAAAGTCCTCCACAATTATCATGTGTTGCACTCTCTGCTCTGAGCGTTTGGGAGAGGTCTGTGGTGTGTCGTGTAGAAATGAATAAAGTAGATTAATGTTATGTGTGAATTATATACACCTATATTTAGATATTTTGTATTCAAATAGTTTTTACTACTATAGTCGTTGTTGTTTAAGGTTTTCAAATAATTTCATATGAAAGAAATAGCTCGAATGGATTTCTATGAAATAAAATATTTGTATGATGTCCGGACCATAATCTATTGAACTGATCAAGTAAGTGGACCTCGTGCCAATTTAATTGGGGACCCCTGCTTTAGGATGTGCATGTGACCGCAACTTAACAGTGCAAGGGCCCCTTCTCCCACTCACTGCAGCCGCAGCTTGTCCTCAGTCACCTGTTCCATTTCTCTCCTCTTCTTGTGACTTAAGTTACAGAAAGTCAAGAGAGTCTGGGTCTCGCGTGTATCTTGTTGTAAAGTTCCTCTGCCCACTACTGGCCAGGCGCTAGAACTACATTGTTTTTGATCCTCGTATGAACGCTGTGAAATTTGCATGAGGAGCCTGGTCGTTTCTGTTAATACCTGGGCAATGTCTGCGCAGCACCTCCGTATAAACGGGACCTCAGGCATCTAGGCATCGACTCATTCTAGGCAATGTCTAGCTTAAGGATACAACAACCGTTTGGCACTTTACAGCCACCCCACTGTGGCACTTTGTGTTCCTAGGTCTCCCATCAGAGTACTAACCAGGCCCGTTCCTGTACCTGTGAACCATAACCTTAAGGCCCTGCTCTGCTTAGCCTCAGAGGTCTGACAGGATCTGGCTTTCACATGCAGGTGGCGCCACAAACTATTTTCTAATGTAGGTGTTGTCCATGTTTTTTCAGTGCCTGTATGATTGGTAGTCAAGGAGGCAGATAATGATAATAGTTTGCGGAACAAGTGAAAATATGTAAAAAAAAATAATACAAAATAATACAAACTAACTAACACAATAGGCATTTTCACACGGTTATATCAACAACAACCCAACATAGAACGTACAGTTCTTACAAAAAAAAACAAGCCACACTTTTTATTCAAGATTCCTAACAACAGAGTTAGACCTCCTTTTGCTGCAGTCTAAAAAAATCTGTCATGAGACTGTAAAACACTACATAGGGAGAGCACAATGAAGATCCTAAATCCCTTTTGTTTATATTTCCATTTAACGTAATTACCACAATGTCTTTAACAATTAAGATGACAACATCAATCTAAAACTGTTCAACAAAGGTCAAAGTGTGTCCTGCACATATTTGTCACATGAGGCGAGAGGGAAGAACCAACATTTTTCAGTGCGAGAAGTGACAAAAACGCCATATATTCAGCACGTTCAGCAAGTTTTGTGATGCAGATATATTGCATTTAATTTTTCTCACAGATCAATTTGCTACTCAGCCCATCCAGTAGTTTTAGCGCAATCCAGCCTACAGACAAACACGCATAAACACAGGTGATCGGATTACCCCATGGCATGGTAATAAATTCTGAATTATATATTTCAAACTGAAGAGACACTTCAGATAGCATTATTTCACTCCGTACACAGTGGTGGTAAGCTACTACTAACCTATAAGTGCTCAAAGCCCTGGAAAAAGCAAGGGTGCTATCTGTACCAACCACCACAATTATTCTTACACCAAAGACTCATACAATTTTCATTCCCCTGTGTCCTTCACTCCAACTCCTCCTCTCTCACTCACAGCAGGAGACTTGTGTGTGCAAGGCTGCAGGCAGCTGCTGCGGCTCTGCTCTGGGTGTGATCATGGCATGTCCACGAGAATATTCATCCAAACTATTCAGCCAATGACTGTCTGAGGCACTTGGGGTTATGAAAAGTATCAAAAATGGTAAAAAGTATAGAAAACCAGATATTAGTTCATATAAAAGTATTTTTAAAAAGTATTGATACTAAATAAAATTCCATTAAGACAAATTGGTCGTTCACTAGTTAAAAACTATAAAAAAATTATATGTTGGCTAGTTGAATAGTAAAATAATCATTTTTGACAGCCCTCATATTATGTATAATTATTGACATTATTTTTTTTTCTTAATGCTGAACATGTGAATTGTACACTCAGGGAGCTGTTGTGCAGCTGTTATGTCTGAGAACTCATGACTTTCTCACATTTATACACAAAACAAATCTGAAAAATTAGGTTCTGGGGGTAATTTGCTTCTTCATCCGTCCAAACCAGGAGTGAGACCAAGGTTCTTGGTCCAGTTTAAAGTGATTCCCATGCACAGTTACATAGGCTAGAGCAGAGCAGCAGCAGCAGCAGCCTGCATCTCCTTTAAGGCGCTGTATCCAGGACAAGCTGTTAACTATTGCTGAGCAATCAGAGGGCGCAAGCTGGGGTGTAGAAAGTGCCAGGGAACGAAGCAGTGGCAGGCTCTGGCTAGGCTGCAATAGAGCCACAATTTTACATTTCTTATTGCACGGATACATCCATTGGAAATGTCTCCTGTGTGAGATCAATAAAGTCTATCTTATCTTATTCATCCATCCATTTCTGGTTCAGGGGGGAGGCAATCAGTAGCCACCCAATTCAGAGCACCAGCACCAGGAAATGACAAAGGCAAGCAAAGACAATGGACCAGCAACAAGGGCAGAGAGGAGCCCCTCACTGATCTTCCTGCAGGTGGTGAGTCCACAGGAGGATGGCTGCTCTGTCAGTGAGAGCATTGCCTTCATGGCTTCAGGGAAAGTGAGTGTCTGCAAGGACAAAACTACAGCAGACATCAGCTTCAGGCTCCAATGCCAATGCTTTACCAACTGAGCCACTGCCACCCTGTTTGTTTACCCACCAATAGGGAACCTGAGCTGAGGTTAGACTGTCGTGAGACAGGTTAGTTTTACCCTACTGCTCGGATGTATGGGTATTTATATAGATGCTTGGCACAGCCGATATTCAACCACTACTGCTGGAGTAGTTTGTCAACATCGAACAACATTTTTAAATCATCAACTCCAATTGTAATTGGAGTTGATGATTGTTGTAATTGGAGTTGATGATTGTTGTAATTCAACAATTGAGATTAGATATGTTTTACTAAAATCACTTGGGTTGTCAACCAAGTGCTTGAATAGATAACTTGAACTGGAAATGAATAGCCCTGGGATGAAGACGTTTTGCTACCATACTGTTAGTTGTGTGCACTCTTCTCTCTGCTTACTACAGCTGTGAGCAACAAGAAGATTCAGCATTGGGACTGGTAACAAATACTAGAATCAACCCTAATTCTTATATAGCTTGCAAAACATATATGGAATACTTTGCTCTTTGTACATTATACATTTTCTCATTATAAAAGGATAAAGGATAAAAGTTGTTTGAATTCATTTGAATACAATTTGAATAGATTGTGTAAACCGTAACAATAACATGTTACAAATTACATTTACACACTTTTTATTGTATGTATTCACTACTCTGAAACAAAATGAATTATTGTGTGATACACGACATGTAGAAAATTCCTCAATCCCTGGAGCGGCTCAGACAGACAGGGAAATTCTCTACCTCCCTCAAAAGGGCAAGGAACCACTCAAGCATTACCATTTACACACATTCATCAGACAGCAGCGTAAACAAACACATGCCTCCCTGGCACAGTGAACTGGTGACGTTTCAATCAGTCATTATATTTCATTTATTGAGTCATAGACATACTAAGAGCATACAAAATACACCACATCGGCCTACCCCGATTAACAATCATCAGTTCATAAAGATTATAATCAAAAGGTGACAACATGATTCTTCAGTTAGGCTGTGTAGGTATGTGTGTGTGTGTTTGTGTATATGTGAATACTAGAACTAACCAGGTCTTTCCTCACATGTATATGTATATGTATGGGTGTGTGCAGGTAGGCCTGTCACGATAACAAATTTTGCTGGACGATTAATTGTCTCAGAAATTATTGCGATAAGCGATTATATTGTCGTTCTGAGATCATTTGCATCGATTACAATGATCATGCAGGTACACCTTTTCAAAGAGAAATAAACTTTTATTTTTAACGAATATTTAACGCTAGAACACAATAAATTTACAAACAACCAAAAACAATAAATAAAATACTCAGTCTCTTAACAAAAAATGACCAGGAATAAAACTGCCAGGACCTTTGTAAAGAAAATATGAAACAGATGCCTCAAATGTCAATAATTTCTCAGACTTTATGGCAGATTACGAGAAAGAAATACCAACATGTTGACTTTGTGTGGCTTAAGACAGGATCTCTCAGGAGTAGTCCCACCCCCCCACACACCAGGCGAATGACAAGTGACTGACATGTGGGTTCACCAATGGGGCGTACAGAAGTCCTGCCGCGGTAGCGCCCACCGGAAGTAGCGGGGCGGGCTTTGATGCTAACAGCTAAGCTAGCGGGTTTTTTGTGTAAAGTTCTACTCCAAGAA